TCATTTAAGCATTCAGAGATGTTACAAAAAAAGTTAAAAGAAGTTCAAGAAACACTTCGTTACGAAACTAAAATAAAGTTAGTACAGGATATAACTATTCGCTGGAATAGCCAATTCGATATGATTGAATCTATATTAACAAATAAAACTGCATTAGATATGATAAGCATCAAATTCCAAAATATAAAAGACTATCTTCCCACTGCAACTGAATTTAAGGTGCTGGAGGATTTGTGTGATTTGTTACACCCAATTAAAGAGCTAACAAAACTTTTTAGCAGAAAGAAATATGTTACAATAACATTCCTGTTTCAAACACTGTATTCTCTACTAAATGAAATACTTGAATCGCAACCTATTTTTACAGAACTAGTTAAGACTTTTCAAAAGAAATTATTAAGGTCTCTAAAAGGATGTTTTAAATACATTTTTGCCAATGATTTTTTCTTAGCAGCTACTTTTCTTGATTTCAAATTTCATAAATTCAAGTTTATCAAAAATGATATTTATAGAAATGAATGCATTTCAATTTTATGAAATGCTTCTAAAAGAATACGAAGAAATCAATATAACAATTGAAACAAACTGTTTAAATAAAACTTTGAGCTCGTCAAACAGCTCAGCTGACAATACATTCAAAACATTTCAGCAATCGTCAATACCACCTATTGCAAATAATATTACTTTAGTTAACAACAAAAGACGAAAGTCAACCAACTTAATTGAACTAGTAACAGATAAATTTTGTTGTAATTTAATTGAGAGCAATGATAAACTTGAAAAAGAAATAAATGATTACACTCTGCAATACTTTCAGAGCTATGAAAATAGTGCCATTGAATTTTTCCAAGCTAATTGAAAATTGTTCCCGGTTTTGACACAAATTACACAGATAATATTTTCAGTTCCAGCGACATCCGTGCCATCAAAATGCTTATTTAGTTCAACCGGTTTAATAGATACGGAACTACAGAACAGGCTTGCGTTGAGCTTATTGAAGCAGTTAGTTTTTATTAAAGAAAACAAGTAATCAAAAACATTTCTTTATTAAATTATATTTTAGTAAAATCTGATGAACTTTTTTACAAACAGCTTAATTAATAACAATATGTTTTCTGCTATATTCTTTTCAATTCTGTAAAAAACACCAATATCTAACCATTGAGCTGCCATCAGGGCAGATGCAAGTAGGTGTGACATGGTGGGGTGTCATTAAAATTTTTGTTGAATAAAAAATTAGATCCTTGTTATTTGAAATTGGACGACTGACCTATATAAAAGGTCTACATTTACCGACTCCTTTAAAAGGGTTATTTTTGCCGACTAAATGCACAAAAAATGCATTGAGGAAGGTGTGTGTGAATATTTCGTAAATTTAAACGATCTTTCCTCGTCACTGAATGGTTTAGAATTTCATAGCTTGCAACAGTAGTATTTACTGTTATGATATTGCCCTTTTTTTAAAAATCTTGTTGTCCAACCAACTAATTATAAATTTGATTGTTTTATCTTTCCCTAACTTTACAAGAATCCTTATGAACAAAAAAGTTATTAAAAGAGAGTCTACTGTTAACTTTCTAGGAATGATTATAGATGAAAATATATCATGGAAATATCATATTAAATCTATTGAAAAGGAAATCTCCAAAAATACTTCAATGCTGTATAAAGTTAAACCTTTTCTTAACCTTTCTTAATATGGAGTCTTTGAAAATTAAATATTTTTCATTTAGGGAGAGTTGGGCCACAGTGGGTCCGATTTCTTTCTTTTTTAATTTGAGTGAAAGTTAAAATATATATTTTATCTTTGTCAAGACTTAAGGATTGAGAAATATGTCCTTCATGATAAGAAATCACTAAAACCTAAACATTTATTATCTAACAGCTCACAGAAAGATTTAAAGTGATTCACTGTACTCCAGTCCTGGGGAACAGTGAATCAATTAACACATCTGCAATTTAGTGGTAGTTAATGGTGGCGTAACCAAAAAGTTTTGTGGATGAGGATGTAAATACATTGTACATTATACTTTTGGCGCACTTTTGGTAATTAAAATTAAATTTAAATTTTTTCTGATTGAAAAAATAAAGAATAAATTTTATTGATAACAAAGCTTATTCAACCATCTAAAATCACAAAAAAAAATTTACCTAATAAAACTTATTTAACCAAAAATAAAAGAAATTTTTAAAAGTGATTTTTTAATTTTTATAAACATTTTAATTTTTATAAACATTTTTATCACAGTGAATCAACCAATTCACGGTACCACGATTCATTGTGCCACACCATAAAAAATAAGGTTCAAAATTAATTTCTTGGGACATTAGTGTTATTAAAGGAAAAGCAAAAATAATAAAATGAAGCATAAATATCAGTACTCCGAATAAAAAACTTTAACTTATAAAATGATGTTAACAATGATCTCCTCAACAAACATAAAGATGGTAAGAACATTTACTTTAGTTAGCTAAAAACATAAATTACCTACCAAAAACCGAGAATCAAAAATTATGTGGTAACACCTATAAATAAAGATGGGTGATATATGTGCACATAAACTGATTACATCATCATAATGAACAAAATCATAATCTTTGAGAAAATGCTTCTTATTCACTGTGCCCCTTGATCCACTGTACCCCGACTTCCCCTATTCATAGTATCTTTCCTATTGTAATCTTGCATGGGGAAGTACCAATTATGGGAAGCTCAAAAAAATTTATAGCAAACATGCATGCAGGATAATAATTAAAAAAAAAAAAAAGAAACTGGTTAAGTTTTTTAAATGTTATGAATCATGTTGCCACATTAAATTATATTCTTTGCACTCTAAAACAGATTCATTATATACTAAACATGTTGGTGCCGAAATAAATTTACCAAACTAGTATTCTTTTGCGAAACATATACATATATATATAAAAGGTTTACCTGCCGATACCTATGGTAAATTAATTAGGCCCCGGGTTATTTAGTATTATTATGCAAATCAAATTTAAGGTATTAAAATTGCATTTATAAGTTATGCTTTTAAAATTTATAACGTTAATTGGACGTTATTTTTTTTGGAATAAATTTAAATTTCTAAATAAAAATTTTTTCCGAAATAAATTAAACTTTTGAAATATAATTTTATTTTTGAAATTAATTTAGCTTATCAAATATCTTTTGGTTTTTTTTCGAAATTAATTGCACACTTCGAAATTCTTTTTTTTCTTTCGAAATTAATTTGACTTTTCAAAATACACTTTTTTTTTCCGAATATAATTTCACATTTCAAAATTCTTTTTTTCCTTTCAAAATAAATTTCTCTTTTCGAAATCCACCTTTTTATTTTGAAATTAATTTCACATTTCTAAATTACTTTTTTTTTTTGAAATTAATATGGCTAGTTCAATTATTTTCGAAAGTTTTTTTAGATTTTGAAAAAAAAAGAAGTATTTTGATAATGTTTTAATCGAAAATTTTTGATAGTTATTAGCATAATTCGTAGTTATTTAGCGGGAAGCATTCAGCAATAGACACTAAGAACAAGAAAATGAGACGAGCAGAAAATTTCTAACAAAAATTGGAAAAAACAATGGGATTTGTAATAAAAGTTTCTTACTTTGTAAAGTTTGTATTTTGTAAACAGTTATGTGTCCTATCATCCTCAACCCCCCCCCCCCCTCAAAAAAAAATTGTTTTTTTTTGTTCTTGCCTTATTGGGTATGAATTTAATTGCTAATTTCTCCCTCATCTTTGATATATAGATACATATAAAGAAAAATACTGGTGAGTTCCTGCACTTTTTTTTTTAGAAAAAAAGCACTGTATACATAAATATCAGGCTTTCACAAGAAGACGTGCGATTTCATGTCTTTATATGAGCACACAAAAAAAAAATGTTTTAACAATTTGGCCACGGCATATTTTTAAAATTTAAAAACGGGCTACAAAAACTTACCTAAACTTATCTAAAAAAAAAAATTTTTAAATAATAAATATTAACGAAAGAGAAAATAAAAAAAATACTTAGTTAAAGCAAACACACAAAAAAATAAATATATATATATATATATATATATATATATATATATATATATATATATATATATATATATATATATATATATATATATATATAACGCAACTAAAACAAAACTCATCAAACTAAAATGCTTTGTCTATTTAATTTACGCATTAAAAAACCTTTTCAATCTTTGTTTCAACATTTTAATATATTTTTTATTTATTTAATATGTTCAAAAGTTAAATATTTCTCATAAAAAATACATAGTTATATATATAAAATAAAAAAAATTTTATTAATACTTTTTTTAAAATTAATTAGTGTTTTTTTTTTTACTTCATTAAAAGCATTTCGATAATATAAAAGCATTTAAGATCAAACTTATTAAATTGTAACGATTTTCTAAAACTTTTTTTTTTTTAACGAAATTTTGTTTATCTTTTTAAATGCATTAACTTTAATCATTCTTATATTTAAATTCGTTAAAGAGACTTTTCGTTGTCATAAAATGTCATCGTTTATAAAAACAAAACAATTTTTTATTTTTTAATAAGATTTATTTTAGAAATGAACACTTAAACAATTTATATGTTTTAAATTAAAAAAATATATACAACTGTCAATTATATTTAAAAAACAAAGCTTTTTTTCAGTAAATTGTTACTTTATTTAAAATCGTTTCGCTAATATAAAAACATTTGTTAAGAATTTTTGATACCGCATTTTAAATTTATATATATGTATATATATATATATATATATATATATACATATATATATATATATATATATATATATATATATATATATATATATATATATATATATATATATATATATATATATATATATATATATATATATATATAAAATTTCATTTTTATTTCAACATGGTTAATTTACATTTAACAAGAATGCTATAACTATATACTACTTAATTTTTAATGATAAAAAAATATGGATTAAGTTAAAGCAATTTTTTTTAGTGGAGATAAAGTAGGAGATTGGTATAAATTATTTAATTTAATTTTAATTAAAAAGCTGTGACATGCTGTAATGTTTCATTAAAATTTATATATTTGAGCTCGCAAAAGGAACTTGAACCTGGTAGATATATCTTTATTAAATTATAAATTTATTTTTTATTGCATTATACTAAATAAAAATAATTTAAAATAGGAACTTTTGTTTTTAGCTTAAAGAAAAGAAGTACTTAGTAAAATTTGAATTATTTTATTGAATTCATTAGAAAGATATGTTTTAAAAGAGCTAAAAAAATTTTTAATTTAGCTGCTGCAGAACAAATAAGTTGCAGTATTTTATTAGTTTCTTACTTTATTTGTTTTTTAAAATAGATGTATAGACAGGTCATTATAAAAATTTAGTAATTTTACTAAAGATATTGACTTTTTTCCAGATTTATCAACTTTATCAGCGTCATCACCATCTCTGCCATCTTGCACCAACAATTCTGAAGAAAACCTTCAAAGTAATTTTTTAACAATTTTTCTTTATTTTTATTTTTTTATTATTTTACTAAAGTTTTGCTTTTACTTAATATAGATTTGTCAAGGAGTGATTTTCTTATTTGGTGCCAAAGCCACCCTGTGCCTAAATCAAAGCGGACCTTTTGTATATGGGCCCAGAATGAAGGCAAAGACTTGCCTTATTTTAAATTTTAGCGTCCTGGTGGCAGAAGGGGTGGCAGAAGAGGCAGGAAAACAAACCTTAATGTTAATTACTATACATACACTTATATTATAAGTGTATCTACATACATATATTTATAATTATTACATATATCTACATACATATATTTATAAATATATGTATGTAGATACACTTAAAGGTGTATGTATATACACCTATTGGTAGGTGTATGTATATTGTGTATATATATATATATATATATATATATATATATATATATATATATATATATATATATATATATATATATATATATATATATATATATATATATATATATATATATATATATATATAGTTTTTTTTTAGTTTATATTTGTATATTTATTTGTTTATATTTGTCTTTGTGTATATATATATAGTTTTTTTTTAGTTTATATTTGTATATTTATTTGTTTATATTTGTCTTTCTGTATATTTGTGTATATTGTGTATATACTTTTTATATGGTTTATAATTTGTTTTATGACATTTATATTAATTTGTTTTATAATTAGTTTGTAAATAAAGTTTGTGTTTTACTATAAATAATATTTTTAAATAAAAAAGACTGTATTTAATTTCATAATTAAATTTCTTGCCCTTCCACCCCCTGTCTACCTGAAGTAAAGGCAGGGGGGAAGGAGAGGAGAGATTGTGCGAAATATTCCTTGTTACACTTTTTTTAAACACGTAATATGCATTTGTTATCTCAAAAACATTTCTTTCTTTACACTAATGTTATACATTCATATATAAAAACACAATGATTTGGCAGTGGCATTGGGTAGAAAGATGCTACCACCCGAACTACTAAGGTAGAAAGACTACTACCACCCGAAGCCAAATTGGCTTCCACCCACCCAACCCAAAGTATCCGAATCACATTTATCGGTGGGCTGGTAAATTATATTAAAAAATACAAAAAAAAAAAACATTTTCTTTAAAAAGACCTTGAATTTGAACATACTAAAGGGTGTTCTAGATGCCCTTTTAAGGGTGGTATAGAGGCCCCACATACATCTTTTATGTATCCTGATTCTTCTTTTTAAGACCTTACTTTTAATACCAAGTTGTACAAATTTTGATAAGAATTGACAAAAATATGACATTTTAAGTTCAGAAAAACATAAAATTTGGTCATGGTTTCTTCAACAAATCTATATATCAAAAATTTAGTACTTAAAACGCTATAACTTTTTGTAGAATTTTTCGATTTTGATAATTTTTCTACCATTAAAATACTGTTTTCAAAGTCTTTCCAATGATATATAACAATCTAATGTTTGGTTTGTTTAAAAATTTCATGTCACATACCTACATATATGGCCAGAGCCAGCTTTAAACCACAAACTTTTAATTCTGAATCCAAAACTTTAGCCACTATACCACAACTGTTTTTAACAGTTTTACTATCTCTTGTTCTCTATTTCTTCAAAAATTTGATTTTTAACAAAAGAATTGAATTTTATGAGTTTAAAAATAAAAATTGAGTCATGTAACAGAGAAATGTTGAATTTACTGAAACTTTTTTTTTGACTTTTGAAAATTTTTTTTTAACTTTATGTTGGAGAAGGTGAAGAGTTTTGTCAAAAATATTGAGGATGAGGGGATAGGGTTGTTAAAATGATACATTACGTTAAAATGATACATGTGCATATGGAGGAAGGGGAGTCTTAAATGAGTGGTTTTAGTGTGTTCATGCTTTAAGGATTCGACCTAAGGAGAAATATAATAAAAGGTAGTTATCTTATCTTTTCAAGCATTTTGAGGGTAATTCTACAGTTAAACAACTTAAAATAATTTTATTTTTTTGCTTGTTGCGCTTTCGTGTGAAAACTTGCTCAAAGTGGTCACTTTTTAATATAAGCATAACGAATATTTATTGGCTTCAGTACATACATCGACTATCTTATAGTCTGCTGCTACAAGGAAGTGCTGCTGCATTGACTGAGGGTTTGGCATCAATCATTTTTCTTTTATTATTTCACATAATATTTCTAATATTTTAAAAGCCTCCTCTGAGGAGAGCTCAACAAGCAAGAAAACAAAATTATTTTAGGCCGCTTAACTTTAGAATTACCATTTTTAGTTTGTATTTTGATTATTCTTTAAAGTACTTTTATTAATTCTTTACAATTTAGGTAAAAAAAAAAAAAAAAAAAAACTAAATTTTGACTACAGTTTCTTTAACAAATTCATATACTAAAAATTGGCTATTAAAAACCAAATAACTTTCTTTGTAGAATTGTTCCATTTTGATAACCTTTTTACCTTTTAAATACTGTATTGAAGGGGTTTCTAATGATAATATAACATTCTTGTATTTAGTCAATTTAGAATTATGACACATGCCTAATAATGACTTTTAAAAGTGTAATTGTTTTAATTTTAATAATTTACAAATAATATTGTAATAAATATATAAAATCCAAAAAAAATCAATCAAAAACAAATTAAATAATTCTAATTTTACCCATTTAAATGTCGTGATTGTTTACAATTTGTAAAATCGCAAGTTCAACCAAATCGATGGTAACGGCCAATAAATGGCAGCCATATTTATTTACACAACTTTTATAATAGCCAAAAAAGACAATGCTGAGGTCTCGCTTACCTTTCAATTTTGTTTAATATATTTGTCAATAATCAAACCTCGCACCAAAATTGCTGTTGCTAGGCTATTAAGAGACTTACATTGCTGCACTATACATTGTTAGATAGCTTATTATTTCAGCTACAAAACTACAAAGAATCCTTTAGATTTTATAAGATTAATTGGCATTTCCATTATAAATTGTACAATGTGTCGAAAAGCACTGATTCTCGCTCACTTGAACTCAATCTCGCCATGTTGATTTAATTCGCCCACTATGTGACTTTAAAAAAAGAACTTATACTTGCATAGTATAAGTTCTGATCGATTATAATTTTTAAAATAAAATCGATTATAATTTTTTTGTTTAATAAATATTCTTAGCTCGCTTATGTAAGTAATTCAAACTTTATTAATATAAATATTATGCATTTTTGGAAATATTGCTTTTAGGATGGACTAGTTCAATTTAAAACCATTAATTTTTTTAACTTTGAATTCCCACACATATTTTGACATCATGATGTCTTTTTAATACATTTGATTTTAAAAGGGTTGCTTACGATTGACAATACGTTTTACCCACTCACCCTCTGTTAAGCCAATACATTGCTTATCAGGTACATTCTTAGAAAACACATTTATATACCACATTTTTTGGTAAACTCTTTTTGATACACTCATAAGGCAATTGTTTTTTGTCACAATTAAAATTTTCTGTAATTTTTTCACTTAGAATTTTTTTTGTGAAACTTTATTGTGACCTTTAATAATATTTTCCTATTTTTTATGCTGTAACTAACTTTAATTGTATTCCAATTAAAATATATATATATATATATATTATATATAACTAATAAACAAAAGTAAAAACTAGTAAACATGGAGAGAAAGGCGTTCCTAATTTACTTGGTATGGGTGTAAAAATTTATCGAAAATAATTAAACGTGCCTTTCCGTGTATTAAGCACCTGAGAGTTGATTTAACTAAATTGAACATACAATTGTACAAAAGTGAAATACAGTCAAAATTTGGGTAATTTTTTAAAATATGAACTAATCTAATTTTCACTCTTGAAGTTAGATTTTTTTAAACCAATTGATAACAGGCTGAACCAAAACTTCTCTAATAAAAATGTAATCAATTTCTTTATTAATATTTATGAAACATAATTTGGCTCAACCCTTCATATAGCAAAAATGTTTCCACTAATATAGAAAAAGTGTTTAAAAAACAGGTGGATAAACACTTCCTGCCCTCTAAAAAATTACATTAAACTGTTGTAGTTTTTTAAAATAGTTCTTTTTGTAAACTATTTTCCCTGCATGTTATTGATTTTGATTAAGTTTGACTAATTTAGATATATGAGTTTATGCCCATTGTATAAATAAAAAATAATGAAGAAATTTTTTTCAGTAAAGCATAGGACTAGCTTTTTAGAGATGTTTTTCGAAATTTTGCTATTTGATATGTTAAAGTGCGCTTTCCACGAGATGTCCTCGTCAATAAGTATCCCAAGAAATTAGTGATTAGGTTTTCACTATTTTTTTATTTTTATTTTTACTGAAGGTAATGTTAGTGATTTTTTTTGGTTGGAATGAAAAGTAATTTTTTTTTTCTGTATTTAATGATAATTTATTATCATTAAAACAATTATTAAGTTTTCTAAATTCAATACTCGTAGTTTTAAAAAGTTCTCCAATAGATTTGATGTATAAAATAAATTTGTAGTATCTTCAAATATTATGACATCCAGTGTAATTGAGGCTTTTGGTATATTAAAAACAGCAAGGGCGCAAGCTTGGAACCTTTGGCTCACGGAACACGGCATTTTATTTTAAGTAATTTTAAATAGTTTTTTTTCACGAGCACTTACGCATTGTTGTCTGTTCATCAAAAAATGTAGAATACTTAAATGGATTTTAAAAAGATATTAATGATCTGCAGTTGCTTTTTTTTTATGATTTTCTAATTCCATTAGCAATTCCTAGTTTAAATATTTTGTTTTTATTCCTTTTTTTCGATTTTGTGTGTCCTAGGTTACATTCTTAGTATATCAGGGCCGACGACACGGGTTTTAAAGTGTGTGGGGGGGGGTTACAATCATCAAATTTGGCGCAGTGGTAACGCACTTGCCTCAAACGTGGCGCAGTGGTAACGCACTTGCCTCAGAAACGTAAGGTCCGTGGTTCAAACCCCACTTCTGGACAAGTTATGCGACATCGGTTGGGAAGGAGGCGTGAACTCCCTATTAAATGCTCTTCCGCGGTGCTCTGTGATAAGACCGTAAGGACTTCTTGGGGCACCTAAATCAACATTAAAAAAAAAAAAAAAAAAAAATTGTGAAAAAAGTCCTCTATATCAAGATTGTTCTTACTAGAAAAAAGTGTGTGCGGGTGTGTGTGTGTAAGGTATACAGGGCCGACAACACCGGGGCCCTGACCCCCCCCCCCCCGTGTCGTTGGCTTTAAAACCACATCCCAATTTACTGTCGATAACGATAACTGCTTTAATACCACATCCCAATTTACTGTCAATAATGAGTCTTTTTGAATTGAAAAATTTTGAATAGTATATTGGTAGATTTTGGTCATAGAATTGTTAACTGTTCTTGTACATTAGGACATATTTGTATAATAGAATAATGAAAATGATCTTATATATCTGATTTTATGATTTCTGCTTTTAAGGAGGTTTCTAAAAAAGTATTGGTCAATATACTATATATAGTATAGTAGAAACGAAAGTTGGTGTAACCTATGTGGATTTGTTGACAATTAGACGGATGCATTCCTGGAACATAATGTCAAAAAAGGTTTTGTAGTCGCATTTTCGTTGTAATTTAAGTAGTTAATGTTTAGATCCTAAACACGGAAAATTATTTTTTCTTTATTATTTATTTTGAAAAGGACTGAATTTTTTTTTATCAATAATTATTTTAGGTACCCCAAGAAGTCCTTACGGTCTTATCAAAGTGCACTGCGGAAAAGCATTTAAAAAGAAATTTACGCCTCCTTCTCTACCGATATTATTAAACTTGCCTAGAGGTGGTGTTAAAAAAAAATTTTTTTATTGGTTATCTCAATTGTAGAAACTTCACTGTCGGTATCGGAAATTAAGAGATGTTTTTTCAATTGATCATTTCAGATGTTGTAATCCCTCCTCTCATTTGTTTGTTGTTTTTTTAGATGTTTTTTATTTTTGTTAATTTTTATTTTTAGATGCTTCAGGAAAACCTAATAGTCTTGTCACAGAGCACCGTGGAAAAGCATTTAACTAAAAAGTGTACACCTTCTTTCTTACCGAAGGCGTGAAATATGCTTAAAGCTCGCTTCAAGCCCTCAGTCGCTTGCTTCTAAAGCCAGCGCTCTAGCCACTGCGTCACGACTTTTTTATGAACCTGTTTGAGATGATTGATCAGAACACCATGTTTTCGTTAGGCAAATCAAACTAAATAAATAATTGTAATTTGTCGAAAATTAGGGCGATTGAATAAGTGCAAATTTCATAAGTGCAAACTTACATTTTTTTTTTTTTTTTTTTTTTTTTTTTTTGTTAAATTTTCACAACTATATTAATTACAAATTTTTTTTTACACTGCGATAGCATAAACAAAATATACTTCCAATACAAAAAATTAAATATGCTATGACTTGATAAGGGTTTTGACTGTTGTAGGGAACTCTTAGAAGACTGAGTTTAGTCTTATCATCGAGAACCTTGGGGTATTGCGTAAAGTACACATAAACATTATGATTCTCATAAAACAAATATTTTAAATGTTATTGATGTAGACTTTTTTTTTTCTTTTTATTATTCTATGAGTGGTGTTAGTGTTGTGGTTTATAATAATAATATTATCTTTTTTTTTTTAATTAAAAAAAAAAATACATTTTCATTTTTGGTTGATTGCTGATTGTTTGAATGTGAGCTTAAATGTTAATTTATCATTAGAACTAAAACATTTTTAAGTAATTATCTGTATTGAGAACATGATTTTTTAGTTTTGACTTTAGAGAAGTTATATTGTCAGCAAGAAAAATTGAGGTATAATTCGAAATTAATTTGTTATATAAATACTGGCCGCGATAAGAAATAGAAAATTGATAATTTTTTTGTCTTTTCCAGGGTACAACAAAGTTACCAGTTGCTCTTGTGTTAAATTTGTTGATATTAGATTGAAAGAATATATGGACGAATAAACATAAGTGCAAAGCAATTGTGAAAACTGGCATAAGTGCAAATCAACATAAGTGCAAACTGATATAAATGCACCAAAAGAATTTGCAAGTATTGAAATCAGGAGGCTGAATAAGCGCAAATTTCTTAAGTGCAAACTGGCATAGGGTGCAAATTGGTATAAGTGCGCCAAAAAAAAGTCAACATTTGCCGACTGACTGTTTCAATTTACCGACTAAGTTGTCTAAATTTGATGATTGACTTGACTGACTTGTTTAAAAGGGTCAATTTTGCCGTCTAAATGAACAAAAAAGCAAGAGTTATATAAACATATAATTTCGGAAGCCATGTTAGGGCCAATATTTTATGTAATAGTGTAAGAGAGCTCGCCTCTTAAGCAAGTAGTTCCGAGTTCGATCCCCACCACGTACCTGGTAGTATCGTGCTCAACTTGATACTCTGCGCAGCGGTTTTGTTTGTCAAGGTTCGTGTTTCAAAGTAAAAGAGTTGAGAGAGGGTTGAAAACATAAATAAAGTAGTGATTGTAGTGGCTTTCATGGCCTTGGGGAATTGAAATAAAAAAGATTTGCAAAAAATATTATTATTGAAATTTTCAGCTTTAAAAATCTTAACATTACATTCTTCTGTATCTGGTAAAACATTTAGTTTTTTATAGATATTTCCAATTATTTCGTTCACTATGCTTTAAGTATTTTTATGTTGTCATTATTTTATTCGGATTTGTTTTGAATAATGAATATTTTTTGAATTAGTTTTAATTTTTTTAAATAATTTTTTTGGGCAGCCGTAGCGCACATGCCTCAAAAAATAGAGATCGTGGTTTAACGCTACCTATGGGTAAAATTTATTATATCGGTTATAAATATAAATAGTTGTAAACAACAAAACTTTAGAGAAAAATAATGTAAAGTTAAATAATAGATAAATTAATTAATAGTGCTCTAAGATGTTATCGAGAGAAAAAATTAGATTTTTAATTTTGTTTTTAAAAAGACGAAAAGAATTTGGTCGATCAAAATCAATATTTGGTAAAACAAGTTTATTCCATAGGTGCGGTGCACGATAGGCAAGGCAAAATTTAAAAATTTGTTTGACAAAAAGGTTCGTTAGAATTTTTTTTTTTTTAAGAACGTATTTGTTGCTGGGTTTTAAACTGAACTGATCTTTAAAGACTGAGGAGGGGGGGGGATAGATTGTTTTTCCACATATATACAAAGCATAAAATTTTTAAAACGTTGAGTTCAAATATATTTAAAATTATCATTTCAATAAAATAAGGTTTACAATGAGAAAAACGATCAGTAAAGTTAATTATGCGAATTGCTCGTTTCTGACAGCGATAAAGACGATGTAATTTACTTTTTTCAGTACTTCCCGAGGCAATATTAGCGTAGTTTATGTAGCAGTGAATAAATGAGAAATAAAATTGTCTTAAGTTTTTCTTATTGAGATAAGTTCGAGCTTTGTATAAAACTATAATATTTTTAGAGACTTTAGTGCATACATAGTTAATATGTTGATTCCAATTAATATTCTTATCGAGATATCGAGATAAACACCTAGGAATTTAATAACAGAGTCTATTTTTATTTCAACTTCATTAATAAAGATTGGAGGCAAGATTAAGGGTAAAAAAATTTTTTTTCTATTCAAATGAAAGAGAGCCCATTTAGTTTTGTCAGTATTAGTGTTAATTTATTGGATTTGAACCAGTTGGATAAAAGTTTAAGTTGTTTATTCACTGTGGCAAAAAGTTTGCTAATATCACTCTTAGAGATGAATAAATTAGTATCTTCAGCGAACATGATGCTCATCAGATTAGTTGCTTTATTTAGATCGTTTATGTAAATTTAAAAAAGGAGGGGTCCGAGGATAGAACCTTGTGGAACTCCACATGTTATACTTAAACAATTGTTGTGATAGTTGTCATTACCAACAACAAATTGTTTTCTGTTTGTTAAGTAACTTCTGAACCACTTTAACGCTTGCTTATTTACTCCAAAGTATTTCAGTTTTTCGAGTAGGATATGATGGTCAACCGTATCGAAGGCCTTCAATAGGTAGATAAAGATACCTAATGTAAATTTTTATTGTTCGAACGATTTTGAAATTTTATTTACAAGTTGGATAATTGCATGCTCTGTTGAGCTATCCTTTTTAAACCAAATTGATTAACATAAAGTAGGTTATTTTTGTCAAGGTATTTATATATTCTGTTGCACATAATTCTTTCTAGGATTTTTGTAAATACTGAGAGCACAGAGATGGGGCGATAATTAGTTATTTGGGATTGGTCGCCCTTTTTGTAAATAGGTAACTTTGGCAATTTTTAATTGTTCTGGAAAAATTCCTTGTTTAATTGAGGCATTGAAAACTTTAAAAAGAACATCTTTCAGTTGCTTAAAGCAATCTATTATCACGTTTCCATCTATTTCGTCTGGTCCACATGATTTATTTTTAAAAATTGATTTGAACGCCTTTTCAAGTTCTTCAAATGATAAATCAGAGGGTAGTTCATCAGAGCATATGCACTCACCCAAGGCTAATAAGAAGTCACTAAACAAAGTTCTGGTTATAGGAATCTTATTTGATAGTTTAAGACCTATTTCAGTAAAAAATCTATTAAATTCATATGATATTATTAGTGTTTTCAATTTTCATCATTTGTGGCAGAGAGCCAAAACATGATTTTTGTTTTCCTATAATTTCCCAAATGCGCTTAGTGTTATATTTGAATTTGTTAAATAATTCTGAGTAATATATATTTTTAAAGTTTTTACGAATTTTCTCAAATAAATATTTAGTTTTTATTAATTTTTTCGTTTGCGGTTGTTTTTGTTTTTAGAAAATTAATATATAACTTCTGCTTGATTTTGAAACCCCATGGTAATCTAAGGAGAATTCAAACTCTTAGATTTTGCTATTGTTTTAACTACGGGAAAGTTAGAGTAGTATACAGAATAAAAAGTTTTGAAGAAAGTTTCATATATGTCGTTTGCATTATGTTAATATTAATCCAATGGAGTAAGGATAGTTGGTCTTTGAAATGCTCTTCCGCGGTGCTCTGTGATAAGACCGTTCAAATTAAAAAAGATTTAAAAAATACTTGATGTAAAGTTTTTGCTGTTTTTAATGATTTCCTGATTCTATTAGTGATCCAAAGAATATAATTAATATCAAATTTAAGTATTGTTTTATTTTTTTCATTTGGAAATTATTTATTGTAGTATTTTAGGTAAATATTTAAAAAAATTTGTATGCAGAGGTTGGACTCTAGTTATACTTAGCTCTAATCTACTATGTAATAAAAGATTATATTTCAATTACAATTGTTACTTTCTTACGGTAATATTTATTTTTTAACACCTATTTATTTTTAATTTAATGTCGATAATAACACTCAATTTAAAAGCCTGTTACAACAACAATAGCTCAGACAAAACCTCATTGCTTGGTAATATCAACCACCATTTTACTAATTAAATGGTGTACTCATTAACATAAGCGATTTTACAATCAAAATGAATGGGGTGGAGGAATCCTTAAAAAGTACCGACTGGCACCCACTATACCTGGTACTTTAAGGAGCCACTTTTTATAAGGAACCGACTATACCGGGTACTTTTTTAAAGGAGGTCACTTTTTACATCAAAGTAGTTTTGGTAAGATATTTCTTTTAATCAAAAAATTACATTCTTTATCAATATTGGCACAAGGTTACCCATTTTAATAAAGAATGTAAACAGTAACAAAGCAGAGATTCAAAAGTTTTTTGTTTATTGATGGATCCATAAATAGAACAGGCCGGAGAGAAACATCTGCCTGCCTTAAATATAAAAATATATGTAAAAAAGTAGACAAGGTAATAAAAAGGAACAGTTATACAAACAGAAAATCAAAAACAACTCTTTTTTTTCTATTTAGAATTGAGTTAAACGACATTTACGATCAATTGATCTCAAACATTTATACAGATGTATGATCTAAACACCGTAGAAAATATTATAATTATTGAAATATATTTTTTGGTGATAAAAAAATTGTAAAAAAAGAAAAGAAAAAAAAAAAAAATCTACTATTTTTTCATAAATATATATATAAAAAAAAAATTAATCAACATCAAACTACGATCAAAAAATGCAAATCATTAATGTAGTATTTAAAGAAAAAATATTTAACATTCATCAAAATTATATTATTACACATATTTTACACCCTAAATTATTCATGTTTTAAATGAAATAAGTTAAAAAAAAATTTGATTGAATTATAATTAGAGGGAACACCTTTCAATCTATTAAATTGCGCTTCCAGAGACTATTATATTATGTAACATTCATTCCCTTCCATGAGTAATTTATCGAAGTGCAGAATATCAGATACAAATTTTATCAAAGCTAAAATTGATCTACTAGAAGAGTTGTAAGAATATCAGCAACACCATCACGAGATGAACGTATAGTTATTCTGTACATCTAAAGAGAAGTAAATTTATATTTTAATAAATATGTCGAATAAATTATACAAATTACAAGCAGAGTATTTCAAACCTTAGCTTGAATATTTGGTTCTAAACGTAATAAATAACCAATCTGCGCGTTTCTTGTGTTTAAAATTCCAGCTGTAACAAAATTGTCTGGATTAGGATCAATGCCGTCTAACAATCCCATATTACAACCAAGAAGCTAAATAGTTAAATTCAAGCATGTAAACAACCAAAAGTAACGGTATTAACATTTAAAACATTTGTGTCATCAAGGTGACTAAAATAACATAAATTGCAATACAAAAAATAAATAAAATTAATAAAAAATTTTAAAAACCAGCCTAGATCTCACAAGAAGAGGAGTTAAATATTAAAAACAATTCTATAACAGTTTAATACTTTTTTATGTATGGAATAAAAAATAGTCCTGGACGTCCAAAATTATTTAGTGACCGTGGTAGGGAAGGTTATTGAAACAAGCGAGTTATTCATGCTTTTCACCTTTCGCACAAAAATCTTCTGCTCAAACCCTTAGTCACTTTTTGCGATCATTGTGTCGCATAAAAAATTATAAATATATTAATATAAATATATTTTTTGACAACAACTTTCATCAATATCAATTGACATCATCAGGTATAAAAAATTAGTTACAACTTCTGTATATAAACAATTTTTTTGGCTACATTAAAAATTTAAAGTTAGTTTTTACAATAGTTACCATAGTTTATGGTAACTATTGTAAAATAGTTACCATAAACTATTACTACCATAACTAATAGTTACCATAGTTAATTACACATTTTATTAAATAAATAATTACCATGACATTTTATAAAAGATTATACAGAAGGTGTGAAGTAATTAACAATAAACAAAATAGGAAATAAAAAGTAAGATAATTGAGAAATTATATTGTTATAGTAATAATGTATGATTTTAATTGTGTATTAAGAAGAGGTTTTACCATTTCAATAAGGATACCTTGCTTAATTTTGAGCTCATACTTGGAAGAAGCTCTGTCAATAATGGAAAAGCAATCAAGATTTGTTGAATTTTTGCATTTTTGTGATGAATTGAGATGTTTGTAAATGTGGGAAGCCTTATCTAAATTTAAATGTTTTGAAATCCTTGTTGTGTAGTGTTTAGTGGTTTTACCAATGTATCCAGCATTACAGCTGGAACATTCTAATTTATAGACAACAAAAGATTTTAAATTTGAGGGTAAGGGATCTTTGGATAAAAACATACTACTTATTTTAAAAGGTATAAAAAATAGTCTTGCTTGTCTTAACAATATTTTTTAATCAAGAAAGTTCAATTTGTGATCAAATGCTTCCTCTTTAGTTTATTTGAGGTTAGGATGCTTTTTATTTATATATTCTAGAAAAGTGAGTACATCATCGTTATTTTCAAAGATACAAAAGATATCATCTACATACCTTTTGTATATAACTACTTTTTTTGCAATTATTGTTTTATAACCATTTTCATGATGACTCATAAGTTAGCTAAAGCAGGAGATAATGGAGATTACATGGCAACTCCATCGTTCTGATCAAGTATTTCATTGTTAAATAGGAAATGCATTTGCATGGTTGAAAAATCAAATAGTTTTTTTAATTCAAGTTTGAAAGTATTAAGGTTTGGTCTATTTTTTAAGATTAAATCAACAGTAATTGAGATGGTTTCATCTAATGGGATATTTGTAAACAAAAATTTGTCCACATCAAAGGAGATTAGGTAAGAGGTGGCTACTCTTACTTTGTTAAATTCATTAACAAATGTGAAGCTATCTTTGGTGCAATGATTAATTGGAATGTATGAAGTAATTAAATTACTTAAAAATTTAGATAATTTGTAGTTGTATGTCTATAATGAAGAAACTATGGGTCTGAAAGAAGGAATGTTATTATTAGCGGTTAACTTATGTATTTTAGGTTTTCTATACATTCTAACAATTGTTGAACCAGTAGGATAGATATTTTTAGGTACTAGGAAAATTTACCTGAAAAAATCCTCAGCAAAAAATAAATTAAAAAAAAATTGCTTTGAAATTGATAGATTATCCATCCAAACCAAAACCCTCAACTAATGTAGTGGCGCTCATTGCATGTTCTACCTATTTGTCAGTCGATGTTCGAACACTCCTTCTATGTTTGTACACTCTTTGCATGTTCTATCTATTTGTCAGTTAATGTTTGTACACTTCTTGTATGTTCTACCTATTTGTCAGTTAATTTATGAAAAATGAAGGATTAAGGTTCTGTTTGTATGATAATACTTATGTATAAAATACTTATATTATAAACAACTATTATATTGATATATCATTTATTTTATGCGCTGTAAAAAGAAATCCAGGGGGATTTTTTCCTGGGAATATTTTCTGGAGGGTTTTTTTCCTGCTGCCATATTTTTGGTATATTTATCTTACTTTTAAATATTTTGGTATAGTCTGCATTAATTAGATTTTTATTCTTCTTTTGCAAAGAAGAATAGTAGTTGAAGTTGACTTGAAGTAGTTCTCTGAGTACAGTGTAGTTAGCTTTCTCTCAGTACAGTAGGATCTTTAGAAATCTTTGTAGTTAGCCTTCTCTGAGTACAGTAGGATCTTTAGAAATCTTTTTGAATTTAGTGGTATCATTAATAATTTCACAAATTTTATTAAGAAGTCTGGTTGAGTTATTATAATATATTTGTTTTTTCGTAGCTTTTGAAGGATGTGTTTTTTTTTTGTGATTTTTTTATTGTTGTAAACGAGGGCTTATAAGATGAGTAATATATGTTTGCAAGATAAGAGAAATGAAATAAGTTAAAACATTCATTTTGAACGCTTAAATCCAATTATAAAAAATACATTATTAAAAAATTGGTAGTATTCATAATTGCCATTGGGTCAAGCAAATTTAGGCAAGAGAAAACTCTTACAAATGATAAAATCGAAATTTATTTATATAGAAAGATAAAAAATAAAGATATTAATCTAACAATTTCAGGATAGACAGCTTCAATCAAAACTCTACGTTCTGATGTAATATCCGTTACTACACAACAAAGATTTCAGAACATTTAAATCCTAACTAAGCCTCCCACATTTACAAACATCTTAATTCATCACAAAAATACAAACATTCAACAAATCTTGATTGCTTTTCCATTATTGACAAAGCCTCCTCCATGTATGAGCTCAAAATTAAGGAAGGTATCCATATTGAAATTGAAAAAACTTAATACATGCAAATTTCAACTCACTATGACTTGTAAGTGTGTTTTTATGACGCTTTAATGTTAGAAGTCTCAACATAATTTAATCATGGAAAAAATTGAACATCATGCAACAATAAAATTTTTGGTGAAAAAAGGTTTGAAGGCAATGGAAATTTATAGTGAATGTGTTAGGGGATGTTGCTCCATCTAAAACAATGGTCTGTAAGTGGGCATTAGAAATTAAACATGGTCACACAAGCCTAGAAGATGATTTTCGTTTAGGATGTCCAAAAAGTGTGACTACTGAAGAAATGATAGAGGGATTCAAATGATGAGGAAGAATGAGATAATAGTTTTAGAGAGATCAAACTGTGATCAGACGTACCTTTTTAAAACTTTTATTCATCTAGTTTTTTTCCCCGCACTTCAATCCTTTGGAACTCCCTCCCATTTTCATGTTTTCTTGACTCATACAACCTTCAACTTTTCAAGTCTTCTGTCAACCGTTTCCTTGCTCTATAAATCTGTTCTTTTTTTTCTTCTAGTAACTCCCAACTTAATAGTGGTTGCTTGCAGCCTTGTTGGGAGTGAATGCAAATTAAAAAAAAAAAATAAAAAATTGATATTATTCATGATATGATTATGAATGACAGAGCGTTAACCTTGAGTGAGATTTCTGAGACTATGAATATCTCAACTGAGCAAGTACTTCATATTTTAAAAGATGTGCTAGGCCTCAGAAAGCTTAGTGCACAATGGGTGCCGCATTTCTTAAATTGTAATCAAAAACAACTTCAAGTGAATCTTTCTAAGAAATATTTAGAGCTTTTTTAAAAAAATAAAAAAGATTTCTTATGTTATTGTGACACTATGGATGAAACTTGGGTGTACCACTATGATCCCAAGCTTCAACAACAAACCTCAGAGTAGACTGAGCCTGTTGGTTTAGCCCTAAAACAACCAAAATGGTCCAAATCATCAAAAAAGGTTATGGTATCTATTTTCTTAGATGCAAAGGGCATTTTGTTGATTGATTATTTTTAAACTGGTAAAACCACAGTAGGATTCAAATCTGTTGGATAAGTTAAACACAAAAAATTAAAAAAAAGAGACCTGGTTTGAAGAAGAAAAAAATCCTTTTCCATCAAGATAATGCACCAGCACACAAATGTGTTCGAACAATGGCCAAATTGACGATTTACAGTATGAATTGATGGAACATCCGTCTTACTCTCCTGATCTAGCCTCTTCGGAATTCCATCTATTTCCAAATTTAAAAAATTTAAGTGATAAGCGTTTTTCCTCAAATAAAGAAGTTATAGTGAATGTGAACTAATATTTTAACGAGCTTCCAGTAAACCATTTTAGAGATGGTATAACTGAATTGGAAAATTGTTGGAGAAAATGTATTGATATATATATATACATATATACATATATATATATATATATATATATATATATATATATATATATATATATATATATATATATATATATATATATATATATATATATATACATACAGACAGACACACACACACACACACACACACATATATACTTTTTTTTAATCATTTGATGATGTGTCATATAAAGACTCAATAGTCAAAATATATTCTATTAAATTAATATTTAGAACTTGCTCAACACATTTTAGAGTTCAAAATACATGGTTTTACACATAAGACGAGCCCACATGAAGCATCGCAAGCTTTTCAGCTTGGAAGTCAAGGAAAAATTTGATCTGACAGTTCCACTAATTTTGCATTGGGACGGTAAGATAATGAATGACCTTACTGGTTCAGAACGAGGTAAAATTGATTGACTTTGGATTCTAGTTTCTGGGCAGGATGTGGTAAAATTGTTAGCTGTCCCTAAACTCCAAAATGACACGGCAGCTTCAATGATGACTGGGGTTTGCGAGACAGGATCAAAGGGTTCTGCTTTGATACAACGTCTTCAAATACTGGACCAAAAGGTGGCACTTGTATTCATTTGGAAGCAGAGCTTGGTTGACATAATCAATTTGGCCTGTCATCACCATGTTTCAGAAATTATTCTTGAAAAGGTTTTCAGCGTTCATAACATCAAAAGGTCTCCTAACATGGAGTTGTTTGGCCACTTCAAAGATTTTTGGCCCCTTATTACCCTGAAGGTAACTTTATTGTTCAATTAATGCTTAATTTATATTTGCTGTAGTGTGATATGTTTTTTATTTTATTTAGTGTAGTGTCGTATAATTCTTAAATATTTAAACTGTTATATAATATTGTATATGTCAAACTCATTAAATTTTTAAAAATGTTTTAGCATTTATAGTTAACTAATGTTTAGCAGTCGCATTTATTAAAACAGTTTTTGCTATATTTGTAGCCTACTTATGAGGATTTCAATTTGTAATACAATTTCTAGTTAGCATTCTATTTTTATTTTAGTTGCAAAGCAGGCGATCGAAAAGAGAGCTGAGCTCCACATTATATACAAATCACTGTCATTTGCAGTATCCATAGTAAGGTGTAAACAGAAAAACTACACTGATAACTCCTTCTTTTGTTGCTCACAAGTTTATGATAATTAAATAAAAATTAGAAAAAACAATTGAGAAGAACGGTACTAGTCCATTTTTTGTTATTTGGACTTTTCATAGTTTCATTTAATTTATGTTGATTTCTCTATGTACTACAAAAATAATACTAATCCACCTTTCTTTCATTAATTTTTGCCATAAAGTAGATTGATAAATAGTTTGTAAACTATAATTATTAAAAACTTTAACATTGATTATCTTGAAATCAAAATATTGGACTAGTCTTAATTTAATTTAATCAATTTAATTGTTCATTACCAATAAAACCAGTGCCTCATAAAGATGGACTGTTTGCAGATCTACCAAACATCAATGACTCTTTGAATGATTATAACAAGCCATAGGTAACACCTGAGTGTAGTGCTACAGGTCAATAATCATCTGACACTCAACTTATTAGTCAAGCTAATCTGAATGACATGTTGGGTTTCACTAATGTTGGAGTTAATGAGTTATGTTATACAAAACTTTTAGTTTAGGTGCATTAGTTTAGGCGCCCATACCAGTCAAACGGAATGAAATACATCCGGGTGGCACTGCAAGTACTTACAACGCATGTGGATGAATTGCAGCAACTTAAAAGTTATTGCTCTTCAACTAGAAATGCAATTGGGGAATGCAAAATATACATTTTTTATGCATTTTATTGCTAAAATGCACTCTCAACTTGTTTTCTTTACAGAAAACCTTATTATATTTGCTGATGAATTCAAAGAAAGACTTTAATACAAGTCTCTCATCAAAGCTGTGTTAAGGTGCGACACAATGAGAGAATTTTGCTAATTTCTGAAGAAATAATAAATTTATCTAAAATACAGACAACAAAATATATTGACTCAACATTTCTAACAAATACTTAATGGAATTTTTTAATGTAAAACTTGATGTGTCACATGACTTTCTGATGTTGTTTAATAGTTTAATAAGAAAGTCTGACATAAAATCTCTCATACAATCTTCCTATCTCTTTCAGCTTCTACAGTATATAAGTTTCTAGAAAAGTATTCTAGATAACAAATCAGACAAAAAAAAAAGTGTTTAGAAAACAAATTTTGACGATTTTTGTTATAATCTCTTTTGTTACAATGCATTCTCAACTTGTCTTCTTTTCAGAAAACCTTTGTAAATTGAACAGGATGACAAGAAGAGTCCACACTCTTCTTGTCATCCTGTTATCTCCAAAAAACAGGTTAATCCATCAAAAGACATTCAAATCACTCCTACTTCTGTTGCTAAAATTATTTCTCACTTAAAAATCCACTACAGCTTGTGGTCTTATCCTTATAAATATACTTTATACTTTTAATGATCTTTCTGAAAATCTTACATCTAAGGTATTATTTACTGATGACAAAAATCTAATTGCATAAAAAAATCATCACTTTTTATCACTTAGAACAAGCAGCCAATCTTGAATGTAATCACTTTTCTATAGAGCTCGAGGCTTGCAGTGGGTGGTGAGTTTTAACGAAATAAAACACAGCTGCTTACTGCTAATAATTATTGTTCCTGATTCATTCTTATTTCTGATGTTTAACAAACTGATTTCATTTTTACTTCTGATTCACTTTATTCTGATTTGATTCTCTACCTCTATAAATCTCTTACTTGTTCTTGTATGAAACAATGTTATCATACTTGAGCAGTTTCTTCTAATAACACCCTTTCTCTTTTTGACAAAATTGAAAATCATAATTGTAAATGTTGTTGAACCTGGTTTAGTTTTTAAACTGGAGCATCTGTCTCAAGTTTAGAAACTAAACCAGGTAAACATTATTATTAGGTTGGATCTTTTTCTTTTTTTTACACATAATATCATTGTTGCTGCTATTATCACTTATTCCATTAGCTAACTCAATCTTGTCTGACCTATTATTTGACAAAGTTGTCATTTAACTTCTTTCATGCTTAAAAAACTTTTATTCACCTTGTTTTTTTCCTTGAACATCAAAAATACAGAATTTATATCTTTAGTAGCAGAACACAATCAGTTATGCTGATTTTTTTTGTTTAATTTAATTGAATAAAAGTTATCAAAAAATTTTAAATTGGTTAAGATTTAACTGGATAAGTTATGATTCAACTGAATTGATTTAGCTTCAACTTAATAAGCTAAACCTTAACTGTTAATTAAATATAATAAGTATAGCACCTGCTAGAAGCCCTTTCTGGAAGTTAATAGGCAATTATTTGTTGCAAGGCCTATATTCATACGTACATTGAGTAACTACTGAAATAAATCAGACTTGAAAGTCATTGATTTAATAGGTAACTACTAGCATTGTATTACTAGTTAGTTAAAAGTTTGGTAAAAACAATTATAGTTAAATTTTATTATAGGTAGGTAAAATTATAGCAAAAGTAAATACCTTTAGTTTAGAAGATTCTGTATCAATGGGATGATTTGCATTAAAAACTTTTTGACTTTCTTGTCCCGGTCTTAATAAACAGAAAGAACATATATAAACAGAAACATATATAAACAGAAAAAACAGTTTTCACTTGCTTCAATGATAACATATAAAATGCATAAAACACTTAAAAAAATATAAACACTGATCAAAGTATGTTTGCATAACAGTAGTACCATAAAATCATATATGTTTACAAAAAAATATAAATTATGTAAAGGGTGAATCCTTTCAAGGAATTTTCTATCAATGCATCATGAATGCGTATTTTGCTAATCAGTAATTGTATTTTTTTCTTCAGTATGTAATATGACATTTTACCATGGAAAAACTTGGCACAGCACCTACAAACAATCTACTTGAATTACGAAAAATAGTTTCCAATAAGAAATGTGTTTCTAACATCTAAAGCAACTTATGATTTAAAATCAAAATTAGGATTTAAGACACTGAAGTTACTGGCTTACTGCACTTTAATCATCTGGCCTTCATTGTACCTAAAGCTAATCTATGTTTTTAATTTTTAATAGTTTTTTTATGGATAAGTACAGTACAATAATTATTATAGTATGGTACTTAGATGTAAAATCACTTTTAATGAGTGACTAAATTCATGAAATTAATTTTTGTAAATTAGTAAACTATCTTTGTAGAATAAATAGAAAATATTATTTTGAAAATAAATTCAAAAACAAAATTTACCAAGTGTTCTATATAATGAATATTATACTGAAACTAAAAATAAATTTGCATGCAAATGCAATCTTACTAGTAAATAAAAATACTGCAATTTTGAAATTAGTAAATCATCTGCACTCCATTTATGGTTTCTTAAAACCTGATCCTGATGTGTATAAAATTATAGAACAGACAAAAATGGAAAGTAAAAAATAGCTTAATCAGCTAATGCACTAAATTGTCCAAGAGCTCTAATAAATCAGAAAAAACAACAACAGCATGATTTGATTAATGGGCTGGTGGAATTAATGTAAATACAGACAAACATGTTTGACAGAATTTACACATAATAATAAATGTTATTAGTTTCTATTATTACCCAGAAAGACTTTTCCATCTTGTGAAGAAATCACCAACAGACATTTCAGCAGGGGTAGAAAACTTTATCAAGAAGACAGGCAACTTTACTTGAAGAACTTGGGAGAAACCATTAATACTAGAAGAATAAAACACTATTAAAAAATAGCAACTAAAATGTAAAAATAAAAAAATAAAAAAAGCAACTAAAACATAATAAGCAAAAAAAAAAAAAAATAAGTTTTTACATAAATGAGAAATCAAGTGTAGGGACAACAGAAAACTCTTGTATAGCTTCAACTTTTATGACTTGTTGTATTTGAGCACCACCATCAATTACATTGGTTATTGGCTGCAATTCAATTATTAATCCTATGCATATGAGTTAAGGAAAACTGGCTAATGCAAATGTATTTTTAAAATAATTTCATATGAAAACAATAAATATTAGGATCTTAGGATTTAAAGGCAAACAAATTTAACAACACTTTAAAACCCTTCAGGCTTGTTCAAAAAATGTTTAAAATTTTTAGAAGTTTGTAATTTTTCTCAAAAAATAAACATCAAGAACCTTTTATTCCATCATTTTTAAACACAGAGTCTTGGAATTATGGCTACAATAAAACATATAGACTCTAGCTTCTAAAATAATAGATTTAAGGTCTCAGTCAGTCTTAACTTTTTAGCTTTAGAGCTCAGAAGGTACTAAATAATATTTTGAGTTTTAAGACTCTAGAATTTAGGAAGAAGTAATGACTATTCGACTCTAAACTATTCTATAAAATATTTGTCGCTCAAAATCCAATAGTTTCAAAAAGTAGTAAGGAACCTAGGGTTCTAAAAAACCTAACAAATGACATCAGCTGAATTCTCAAAAAAATAAACAACGCTTTAATATTTCTAAGACAAGTAATAAAATTTTTTTGAATTAAAGACAAAAATATAAGTTTTATAAATAAAGGAGAAAAGATACGTTCCTTTTGTTCTTCCAAATTAACTTTAGAACTGAAGTTGGTCATCGGAAAAGATGTCTTATTGCCATAAAATACACTTAGACGACCTTAAAATTTTAATTTCTATCAGAAATAAAATGGTTCGGATTGTTTAAATTTATCATTATAATATGTAAAACTTACCAACATTTAATCTATATTCTGACTTGACACCAACTTGCAAGACATCATTTTCAAACAAAATACCATTATTTTTGCAAACAAACCTATTAACAAAACTTTGATTAAACAAATGTTATTACATAATGAAGATTTTATTATAATTTTTATCGTAAAATTCAAAAAAAGAATTTAAAACTAAAATAACTTGAGATAACGCAGCAAGTATAAAATTAGCATAGAGCAGTTGATATAGAAAAACAGAACCAATATTTTTTTTAACAAATGTTTTCACTAAATTTGGTTAATGGCCTGGGTTAAGGCTGTCTGTCTAAATAGTCTGGGTTAAGGTTGTGTTAACTCTAATAAATCAAAAATTATATTTGCATTGTGTTAAAATTATTTATAAGTTATATGTAAACATAATTTAATAAACATACTTATCTAAATTATTTGTAATTGCTTTTGTTGAAAACGGGGACTCACTATGATCAGAATCAAAAATATCTAACAAAGTACCAGTTGATGATGGGGCTGTTGTTGGCAATCTACTGACGACATCTAATAATTAAAAATACACATTTTATAATTAAAAAAATTAAAAAACAATATTAAACTAACTGTTGATTTAATTTATGATAATTTTATACACAAGAACTTAATACTGTATTATAATATATATGGTATTTGATATTTATTTTATATTATAATATATATCCTATATGTTAACAAACAAGACTCCTGATGATTAAAACACCTGGTATATTGTGTCAGAAATAAAAAAAAAATATTTTAAGTGATTTTTTTACACAACTGATATTTGAATTTTAAAAAATATTAGGAAACAAGTGCTATATGATTATTTTTAATATTTCTGATTATTTTTATTTTTTTAAGTAAGTTAAGTAATTATTCATTACAAAATTTACCATACTTATATTATTTCAATTAAATTGTATATATAAAGAAAAAAAAAAATTCAATAAAAATTTCAATAAAAATTGTATATATAAAGAAAAGTTAAAGCAAATTTTATAAAATAGAAATATGTGAGCTCTCTAAGTTTGACTAACATTGGACAAATACATACAAATATTAACTTTTAAATGATTAATGGAAATAAAAAAATTAACTACTCTGCGGAGCTGCTACAGTGATTGGTGCTGGTGGAGGTTCTGAAACCTAAATTTAATTCAAAATTCTACTTATAATAATAAATATACATACTCTACATAACAAAAGTAAATCTCTATATAAATATATAAAATAATAAATAATAATAAATAATCAATATAAGTAAAAAAACATACATATACATAAAGAAAAACATGGCATATTATATTATTTTAGTGGTAAATTAAAAAAAGAACTTGCTGAAAATATTTTGCAACATCAAACAACATATTTAAATTAGCAAGCAAATATATAAAATATATAAAAATTAGCAAGCAAATATATAAAAAATATATTGTTATAAGAAATTATAACAATATATTTTTTATATATTTGCAATAATATAATATAATTTGAAATATTTTGCAACATCAAACAACATATTATTTAAAATAGCAAGCAAATATATAAAATATATAAAAATTAGCAAGCAAATATATAAAAAATATATTGTTATAAGAAATTATATTCAGCATCTAATAACATAAATAATATTTCAATAGAAACAGATAGTTTTGAGCAGGTTTTTTTCTCAAATGTCCCACAAGCCGCTCAAACTTATAGTCTCATAAATAAGAACCTAATTAAAATAAATAGTTAGGGGGCATCCATAAAGTATGTACACAGTAAAACAGCTGATTTAGGATCCCTGTCATTGTACACGCCTGTATGCTTTTAACACCTCCCTGCCTCATCTGCATACTCATTCACCAACCTAAAACTTTTTAAAACATTAAAAACAAAAAAACTGTTAGGTAATTTACTATTTCTGTTACATAACATAATATTAATTTTTTAAACTTCTAAAATTCAATGCTTTTGTTAAAAAAAAGACATTGAATTTTTGGAGATATAGCAAATGAGAGTGTCTCTCAATTTCTATATTTTATATCGCTACTTAAACTCACTGTCTTTAACCCACTTTTCTCTTTAGACATATTTATACAATTTTCGGCAACCCCCTCTCCCATACTTGCATACATTCTTTAATGATGACCATTATTATGTTAGTAATTTATGAACTATACAAATCGAACATAGTATGGTACTTCTATTCTCAAACTTATATTAATTAAATAACATATTTTTTAAACAACATGTACCAAAAATAAACAATGGCTGAACAATAGATATAAAGAAACTTTATTGGCGTAAAAATTTAAAATTTTTTGAAAAACCCTTTATGATCAAAAAATTTGGGGTAATATATGCAGGTAATATACAAAAAAATTATTATATACATTATCATAAACAAAAAAAAAAAAAAAAATTTATACCACAGAATGATTTACAGGAGCTGGTACTGGTTGTTCAAGATCATCTTTTTCTACATTACCGCCCTTCTTCTTCTTTAACTTTGCTAAAAGTGATGATTCACGTTCTGGAAATGGAGGCATTTCCTCAAGAACTAAACAAAATTTTTTTAGCTCTATATAACATATGGATCAAATAATTGCAAAAAAATTTTTTTTAATCCTTTTAATTCTGATAGCACCAATCTAAACCCTTTTCTTAATTGGAAAATGAAATATTGAGGAGGCAACTTAAATAGCAATTATTAATTTTATGAGTTTTTTGCTTAATTTCATTGTTCTCTCTTTTTTACTTTCTTTAAAAAAAAAAATGCCTGCTATTAAATCTTTTTTAAATGCTTTATTTGTTTAGTTATTATTATTTTGAATAGATTATATCTAAATACAAGTGATTAATTTGAGCTGTATATTGTATTCTAAACTAATAGATTCTTGCCTAATAGATTCATGTCTTGCATCTTATAATAAAAGACTTCAATAAATAATTTATTACTGCAGGTGCAACCAAAGATACATTTTTAGCAAATAAGTTAAAAATGCAAATAACTTTTGCTTACATAACTAATTCTTCAATTGTTTTTTTTTAGTTGAAAATAATTTATATTGACTACAAAATGTAATCACAAATATACCTAAAAGGAATTTTATAACTAAATGCAGTAAAGCCATGAACTAAACCACCCATTAAAATACACAAATATAAAATTCTTCATTTTTTAAAAAATAGAGATTTTTATGCATCCAAAATAAGAACAAAAATGTCTTTAAAAAATAAAAAAAAAAATGCAAAGAAAAAAACTAAGAAAAATAAAGATATGTTGAACAGATGTCGAAGAAAATAGGCAGTTTTTATATTCTTGAATTGATTTTCTATTTTCTTCAACACAGAACATACACACATATATATATTTTAAAAAAATTCATAAAAAAAAAAAGGGAACAAAATTTAAGATTTGAGCAAAAAGTTAAAAAACAAAAATGTTACCAGTTGCTAAAACATCTTGTGTTGCAATATTACTCAGTTGTAGATATTCAACAGCACGTTGTTGTAACTCAGTATCTGCATTGCGAACATTTACATCAGATCGCAAAACCTAAGATAAATAATTAAAAATATAATTAAAATAATTAAAAAGATAATTAAAAAGCTTGACAAAATTCCAAACATATAGTTCAGCACTTAACAATTGACCAGAATTCACTTTTATTATACAAAATTAATGTTTTTGCTCTTTGGGATCGTCCATAAATTACGTCACGCTATACGGGGAAGGGGGAGTTAGTAGTTTTGTGACGACTTATACAAAACTTGCTTCTTAAGTGTTACGATTTTGTGATGAGGGGGAGGGGGGAGGTCAAAATCTGTTGAAAATGCATGACGTAACTTATGGACGATCCCTTTACACCAATTTGAGGGTTGTGATTCTAAAGGTGATATTAATTTTGATTTCTTGTTGCTGTGGATACTTATATAGCTTAGCAACCAGATACTCTTCTTAGATACATATGGTATAAATAGATTTGTAAATAACTTTTTGTTTGTTTTTTAACCTACCTATATTGAATAGCATTTAGATATTTAGGTAATTAATGCCTTAACAAGATGAAAAACATTAAATATTATCATTAAATTAAATCAATAATTTATAAAACAATAAGATTGGGTAAAGATTGTTGAGTAATTGTAAAACATTTAAAGGAAATGTTACGATTTGCTCTATGCGATATAGATTTATGCAGTGAAGAAATAAGAGTCACGTTGTAAAATCTGAATATAAAGATATAAAATCTAAATATATTGATCAATACTGAGAGTTTCAGCTGTTTGTTCATATTGTGAAAAATAAGGCTCTAAAGTAACGCCATTATTGCTTGTTCCTAAACCACCACTTTTGAGGAATTTCTTAAATTCAATAATCTTCTTCTTAGTCATACATACCATTTCTTAATGTCCTTTAGATCTTGCTTGCCACTTCATATTTTATATACAAAATTGACTCAAAAAATCAAATCCACGATTGGGGACTGGCCAATCAATTTAAAATCTTGGTGAGTATATTCTTTATTGAGGATAACAAGACTGTTCATATTTTTTGGAGAGACACCTCACACTAAACAACATTTTGATGAGTTATTTGCTCCAGATTTGTTTGACCCATAATTTGAACCTTTCTATCAATCCTTGTTACTTCAATAATGCACTTCAGTTAAATTGAAAACTCAACCACCTAATACAATTATACCCAACCTTTGATCTCACCAAAACTACTTATATATAATTATAATTAAAAAAATTATAATATTTAATGTTCAATGCAACTAAGGGATTAATATATATTGAAATTAAAGTTAAGTTGTAGAGATAAGAAAGCTAAAAATTTTTACTAAATTTTTACCATCTAACAATAAAACTGAACCAGTTATTTTTTAAATAATGACCATTGTTTAAGTTTTATAAATAGTTGCATTTTAACTCTACTGAATTAAACTTGAGTAAAATATCTATTCATTTATTTAATATGTAATAATCTCATTTCATGATACATGTAATAATCTCAACTCATGATAAAACTCATAAAATTAACTGAATTAAAAAAAGTAAAATCTTAATTTTAGCATCAAATCAAAAATCAATATCTTGATAAACCAAACTTACTTCTTGTATAGTAGCTTTGATTTCAGGAAATAAATTGATAAGCTTAATATAAGCTGATAACAAAAGTGCCTTTGTTGACACTGTTGAAAGAGGAAACTTTCGATGAAGTAATTGGAACTGTACTGCTGGTCTTTAAAATAAAATAAACTTATATTATTATAATTTTTAATTAAATCTATGCATATTTAAGAAAAAAACATTTTTTTAATTATTTTCAACAAATTACATTTTTCAGACATATTCAGAAATGCTAAATTTCTTTCCATAAATATGATAACTCATACTACACTTAAGTTTTTAAAAAATACCTGAGAAAATATTAAAAAAAGTAATATACTTACTCAAATAACTATTATATATGAAAAAAAAACTTACGATGATCGCGGATCACCAGCTATCAAGTTTCCAAACTCTCCTAATATATAACCTCCAACCTTTACCATGTTTTCATGACAATCATGAGCTTGAATAGCTTCAAAAACAGTCTTGGCAGCATAGCCTTGTATATCATCTCGATTAATAATAACTTGTATAACACGATACCAAACCTTTTTATAATAATTATACACTAAAAATTATTCATAAAAATAATAAAGCAGCATTTAATAAGTAAACAAAAATTATACCTCTTCTCCCACAAAGTCACCTCCAATACGAATTAACTCTAATATTGTGTCTACATACCAAGAGTAATCAGTCGCATACTTTTCAGCAAGAATAGCGATTTTCAAAACCTTTGAAAAATATGCTTAACTTTAATACTCGCATTCATAAATAATTAAAATTAAAAGCTGTAAAATTTTGTTTAAGGATTTTTTTTTCTTTCTGAAAATTCTATTTTACAAATAATTAAAAGCAATCAAATTTGAATAAAGTATTTTACCAATTCTTCACGTATAGCGAAATCAGCCTGCTTTAAGTAAGTTAGCATTTCAGAGACAACTTCAGAAGCATTGCTGCTATCACACATCACATACAACAAATCAACAGCTCTTTGACGCACACTTACATCACGTTCTGTCTATTTTAAATAATATTTAAGTTAAAAACTCATTAAAAGTGAAGTTTCTGATCAGAAAGATTTTATTTAAAATTAACCTTTAATGCAGTTATGACGGTTTCTTGATGTTTTCTAACAGCTTCTGCAGAAGACTCTGAGTTTGCCATGGTGCACAAACTTTCCAATGCAAGATATCTGTAAAGAAATAACAAAATCATATATTCTAAACATAAAATAACTAATAATAAACAGCTAATATAACAAATTAAATACCTAAAAAAATTTTATATATATATATATATATATATATATATATATATATATATATATATATATATATATATATATATATATATCAGTGGTGTTCAGTCGTGTTTGCCAAATTTTATTTTGATGCAAATTAGACGCCCAAACTTAACTTTTTTTGGGGCGACTCAATTTTTTCTTTATGATTTTTTTTATCAATTCAATAATTTTACAAAGTATTTTACAAAGTTAAATTTTTTAATCTGCGTGCTAAAGAAGACAAATTTTTACATTTACATATTTTTGATGACTTTATGACTGAACTATCTAACCTAACAAGAAGAAAGTTTTTTACATCTAAAGTTAAATTTTTTATTCTGCGTGCTAAAGAAGACAACTTTTTACATTTACATATTTTTGATGACTTTATGACTGAACTATCTAACCTAACATGTTGCAAGTCTCAGTGATAAAGTTTGCAAGAGATAAAGTTTGATTTATGTTTTTTAATTATTAGAACAAAATAAAATTGTTCGAGTTTTATATTGTTTAAACACTAGAAATTAGTTTATGTTTAGTTAGAAAAAATAAAAGAAATAAATTTGTAAATATAAAACCTCAATGAACATGGGTCGTAGCATTACATTTTTAGTGGTTACTTCTATTATAAATGATATAAATAAAATTTAAAATCATATATTTACTGTAAGTAATATTTAAATAAATTTCAACAATTAACATTTAATAATGAAAATAAAAGGTTTAAGTCACTGGTTAAAATTTACTTTTGAAGAACAAATGAATTTAATCATATAAAATTGTTTTGTCGCTCTTTCACTTTAAAATGTAAATTTGAAAGTCGTTAAAATTTAACAACTTTTACAGCTAAAATTTATTTAAAAAAAAAGAAATTTGATTTTTATAAACTTGTTTTGTTGCTCTCTCACTGAGTTTTTTCAGCATTATTTTTTAATAGTCATACTTCCAAAAACTTTGAAAAAACAAAGATTAATCAGAGATTTCATTATTTAATAAATCCAAATAACTTATAAAGGTATATTTATACTATAAACAGTTATAATTTTTATACTATTTATATTTTTAAATCATTATTAAATACTGTTTAACGATATAAGATAAACAAAATAATTAACCAATTATTAAAATTTACTTAAAAAAACAAATTAGTTGAATTTTGTGCACTTAAGTTAAGAATTCAAATTTTTGGTACACCACTGTGTGTGCGTGTATATATATATATATATATATATATATATATATATATATATATATATATATATATATACACACACACATACACACACACACACACAGTAGAATCCATTTAACTCGGGCTCTGAACGGGTATATATATTTTGTCTGATTTAGTGAATGAGTTAAGCAAAGCTTTTGCTATGTATAGGGTATTGAAAATTTGTTTGACTTATCCAGGGTCTGAGTTAACGGGATTCTTTATATGTATGTATGTATGTATGTATGTATGTATGTATGTATGTATGTATGTATGTATGTATGTATGTATGTATGTATGTATGTATGTATGTATGCATGTATCTCTATATATCTATATATATCTCTATCTCTATCTCTCTCTCTTAAGAATTCTATACCAATTTAAAAAATATGTAAAATTTTATCAGAGGTGACCGGCTAAGGAAGATAAACTTGTTTTTTTGATACCATTTATTTAAATTACGTTACATTACTTACGTAACTGAGTGGTACTTATTGTGGATTTTTTTATATCTATTTTTCAGAGTTAGAGTTATGTAACAACAGAATTGCAAAAGTATTGAACTTATTTATTAAAAAAAATTAACAAAGGAAATTTTAAAAAACTGGTGGCACTTTTCTGAGTGATTTTTCATAACATTTATGAAAGTTTTTTAATGAAAAAGTCCAAGAGCAACTTTAAAAAATTATTTTAATATTATAACTTTATTAATATTTATTTGAGTCATTTAAATAAGAAAATCCTTGGTTTGTCAAAGATTTTCTTATTTAACCTTCTTACATTTATGCAAAGACACACTCCTTACATTTATTCGTATTGCCATATTTTCATTAGGTTGAATTTTCAAAATACTGCAAAGTATTTACATTAAAATCTTTTAAAATATTTTTGACAAAAAAAATGCATTGCAAAATCACAGTTTAGGATGGAAAGGGGTTCAGGTATATGTGATCGTTTGTGACAGGAGGGAAGGGGTTAAAAATTAAAAAATATAAGGTGACATGCATTATGGATGATCCATAATAGCTTTTACAAATGATTTGTTTTACTAAAACAAAAAAGATTCTGACTGATTTTTTTGATATTAGGAGAATAGCAAAAAAATCTTTTTTTTTTCTTTTCTTAATGTCTAAATACTTATTAATTCTTATTTTTATTTATTTATGTGTATTTATAATATAATAAAATAAATAAGAAATATTCATAGAAATATTTAATATGTCAAATAAAAAAAAGATACATAAAGAAGTTAAAAAGCAATAATATAATTAATTTTAATTAACAATAAAATTTTTTTTTTTCGTTCTAAATTCTCCTAATATAAAAAGTTTCAGTAAGAATCTTATACAAATGTGAATTTCTTAATGACGCAATTCATTTTGTAAACAAAAACTAACAAAAAAGAGCTAGAACTTTAGTAAGTGCATGTAATTTTAACTTATGTTACACAAATAATCCCCCTTAGATACAATACACTTATGCCAACATTTTTTTCCAATCCTCAAAGCACTTTTCATAAGCACTTTTTGGTATAGCCTTGAGCTCTTCCAGCGATGCAGTCTTTATCTCTTCAATCGTTGCAAATCTCCGTTCTTTCATAGGTCTCTTTAGTTTTGGGAACAAAAAAAAGTCACATGGGGCCTAATACGGTAAATATGGTGGCTGAGGCATGATTGTGGTGTTCTTTTTGGCCAAAAAATCTCTCACAAGCAAAGATGAGTGAGCAGGGGCATTATCGTGATGCAAAAGCCATGAATTGTTTTTCCACAATTCTGGACGTTTTCTTCATATTGCTTCTCGCAAATGGCGCATAACTTCAAGATAATACTGTTTATTGACCGTACAACCATATGGTAAAAAACTCCTGATGCGCCATGATAATTAAAAAAAAGTAGTGAGCAAAACTTTGACATTTGATCGAACTTGGCGTGCTTTTTTTGGTCTTGGCTCACCTGGGCTCTTCCATTGGGACAATTGGGCTTTGGTTTCAATATCATAAATATATATCAATGATTCGTCACCAGTTATGACCCTTTTGAGTAAGTCTGGGTTGTTGTTAACGTCATTCAACAGTTCTTAAGCAATGCTCATGCGACAGTTCTTTTGGTCAAAATTGAGCAATTTCGGAACAAACTTTGCTGACACACGTCTTATGTCCAAAACGTTAGAAAAAATTTCATGGCACGAGCCAAGCGATATACCAACATCCTCAGCAACTTCTCTGATAGTGATTCGATGATTTTCCAAAACAATTTTCTTCACTGCTTGAACGTTTTCATCAGTTGTTGACGTGGTTGGGCGTCCAGAGCGAGGCTCGTCATTGGCATCTTCCTGGCCATCTTGAAAGAGTTTGTACCACTTGTAAACATTTTTTTTACTCAGAACAGAACTGTCAATATTTCAAGTGTTTTAGAGCACTTTATTTTATTTTTTACACAAAATTTGATGCAAATCCTTTGATCTATATTTTTTGACAGCAAAAAATCGCCGAGCAGGCAAAACACTTATAACCTTTACGTCTCTCACAACCAAAAAAAAAAATGCTATACACTTGAAACTTGGTACAGATGTTCGGGAAGAGTGTACCAACATGACAAAACAAAAAAATCGATAATCGAAAGTACGTTGCCCGCAAAATTTGAAAAGTCACCTTAATTTTTGAACACACCTCATATATATATATATATATATATATATATATATATATATATATATATATATATATATATATATATATATATATATATATATATATATATATATATATATATATATATATATATATATATATATATATATATATATATATACATATATATATAAACACACATAATCATACATACTTTTATTTAATAGTAGCATATATATTTTTTGTTCATTATTGATTATATATTCTTGAATTTAATATATTTGTTTAATATAAAGCAAAAAGCACAATACCTTTAAATTGCTTACTACCAACTTTGTTTTATCTTAGCTATTTTTATTTGAATTACTGATTTTTTTCTAATTTTTTAAACTATTACAAAAATAGGTTTAAAAGTAAAAGATAAAAAAATGTTGTTTACAATTTAATAATTTATTTCAGTAATTTGAGTCTGCAAAGATGTATCAATTTAATCTAGTAATATGTTTTTGTGGATTATCTAAGTCATATTTTAAATATGTGAGTATTTTTAGGAAAAAAAATTCTGAATATTTTTAAGAAAAATCTGGAAATATAAAGGCATTTTGTGTAACTAAGAATATCTCATGCATTTGAATAGAAATTTATTATTAATACGCGTGTATACATATATGCACAAAATATAAACATCAATTGGATGCAAAAAATGTTAATGTAAAATTCAAATAAGAAAAACAGTAAATGTAAAAAGTTATATATATACAAGTGGAATGCCCACACATCGAATGAAGGTTTTTTTTTTTATAAAAGAATACTGTTTCAATACTAATACACACATTTAATTAATTAGGATGTAGTTATTGGAATTAAACTGATTTAAATTTAGTTTTATTAAATGATTTTATTCAAATGATTAAACTGACCACAATCAGCCTTGGCTTCAGCATTGTAACTGAAGCTGAAATATATGCCGGAGTACTTGGTGTATTAGGAAAAACTTTTTTTTTTAAATCTTTAATTTCAAATAAAACTGCTTTAGTTATTACGAATGGAAGTAATTGCATTTTTTATTGTTTCTAGCAACTTCAGAGATAAAACAAAGTTCCAATCCAGGTTGCATTGTTTTAGAACAGTTTCATTATATTTTGAACACTGCTTACATATTTTAGGTGATGTAAACTCTTTGAACTTTAAAATATAAAATGTGTATAAAACCTGGCAACTACCAAAAAAATGTAATGATATCTTTGGTAAACAAAATAACAAATATATATATATATATATATATATATATATATATATATATATATATATATATATATATATATATATATATATATATATATATAAAAACTTGTATTAAAAATACTGTTTAGAAAGGTACACAAATATTTCAAAGATATCCAGAATAAAATTGAAAACATTTTAAATTTCTTATACCTTAAATTAGTCTCACGATGAGTTAAATATAGACCAAGTTGATTGCATGCTCTTATCAATAAATGTTGATCGCTAAAATTTAGAGAAAAAATATATGTATACACATATAAATAAATATGCATATAAATAAATATATCAGCCCTCGGAATAAGGAAAAATGATGATTTTTTGCCAACCTTAATGTTAGAAGTTGTAAATAAAATTTGATTCAAAGATTTTACCATAAAACATAGAAACAAGGTCAGTGATTTTTTAAAATGCTGACCCTAATTCTGAGGGCTGATATATATATATATATATATATATATATATATATATATATATATATATATATATATATATATATATATATATATATATATATATATATATATATATATATATATATATATATATATATACCACTTTAGCTTTAAAATATAAGTTGCAAACCTGTCCAGATGAATAATTAGATTGATTGCTTCAAACAAAATAGCATTTTTTGAGTTAGGATGTTGAACCTTTTTAGACTTAGGGGGTTCCTAAATAAATTAAGATCACAAACTGGATAACAAACAAATTAATCCATTAAAATTAATTAATTAATCAAATCATTAATCAATGCCTTTTAAAATACTTACTTGCGCTTTATTTAAAATTGTCTCTAAACAATCTGTTAATTTACCCAACAGTGTAGCTTCATCTAATATAAAAGTCAGTTTTATTAAACACATTTGAATTAATAGCATAAGTTTGTAATATACAAAACTCTTTATAACATTCTCTCAACATTCTTAGGTTTGTAAGATACAAAACCTAATTTAAAATATCAAAAGATCTTTTAACATTTTAATAAAATATTATTGTAAATAAATGATATATTTTAATTATAAACTTTTCAGAACTTTTTGTTAAAAATTGTGTAGTAAATTTATATACTTTACTTAAACTTTAACATATAGCAATAATAAATCAAAATAGACATTGGTTTTAATTTAGACAAGATCACATAATTATGGAGAAGAGATCAAGGAAGATCTCTTCTCCATAATTATGTTTTTTTTTAACCACCATAAGAACTGTCTAATACCAAGGTATTAACAGCTCATGTTCTGGATTCAACTATTCTAAAATTAAATCTAAATTTTGATTTCTTGTTTGCAGAAAAATAATATACGTGGTTATAATTTTTAAGCAAAATTAAGGTTCTTTAAGATTTTAAAAATTTGAATTTTAATCCCATCAAATTTATTGTATAACAAGAAAAAATACATATGTGACTCAATAAACAAAAATAGATTATCATAAAAAAAAACAACAACCAAGTAAGAAAACTAATTCACAATATTTTAATGATGCAAAATTAAATGTCGTAAACAGAATCAAGACAAAAATTTAATTAAAAATTATATACAGGGTTGTTGAAAATAAATATACTATTGTAAATTATAAAAGATAAAAAAAGAAAACTGGATTAGTTGGTATGATTGACTCTTTAAAAAACAAAAACCATAAAGGTGATTAATCTGTTTTGCTTTAATAATGGCATTCATTAGCTATATTAATAAAATGGTGATGTTATTAACTTTCATAATGCCATATAACATTCATAACAATTTGATAAGTATAATTTACTGCAGTCTTATTTTTCTTAAAACTTACCTTAAAATTCTATTTTTTTAAAAATATTGCAGAAATTTAAAAAAACAAAATGATTGAAAAAGCTCAATTTTTGTCATCTAATTTCAAATCAATTTGTTGTAAACAACAGCAAACCATAAATCATGTAAAAAACAAATTAAAACAAAAATTTGAAATATACTAATATACTAATAACACATCTAGCTATCATGCAATGCTTGACGAACAGTTGCTAAATTAACATAAAATTTAATACCAGGTGCTGGATAAACTTGAAGTAATCTCAATAATTTAACAGTAAGCCATGGAGCAGGTACAAAGTAATATGTATAATCTTTCAAATCATTGGAAGTTACTATCTAAAATAATAATAATGATAATAATATTATTATTAATAATAATAATAATAATAATAATATATATATATATATATATATATATATATATATATATATATATATATATATATATTAGAATAATAATAATAAAATAACTACAATAAAATTTGAAACATAACTTGGAGTTTTACACCTTATGCAATCATCAGACGTTACTAACAACCATAATGACAAAAAATATATAATACAGTGTTGGCTTAGATAACGTTAAAGTTGCAATTAATAAATTTGTTTTTGTGGTGGCATTTTGATACTAGTTCATTTCATTTACTTAATAGATTCAAAGATGATGTAATGATATGGTGTTTTTCAGTTAAACAAAAATTACAGAATTTTCCTCCGGGTTTAAATGGTTCCACCTTATCAATAATCTTCCACATAAAAATAATATTTAAAAATCCCTTTTTTTTTAATTTTCCAATTTATTTACAAATTTCTGTGGAATTTCCTTTACTTTTGTATTGAACAAAGTTTTTATGTTTGTACCAGAGATCTTTAAAGGTGTGCTCCATTAAACCAATATAATTAAATCCATTACCCAGCGGTGATATTTTTATGTTGCAGGTGTAAATTATATTTTTACTGAGATACATATCTTTGCAAAGACACTGTGAAGCTTGCCAGCAGTTACAAGTTGGAACATTTATGTTGGAAACATTAGATTATATTTTTTGACTGTGTGAATTAATAATATTTAATACCGCAATATAAAAATATATTATAAATATATTTGCACTACTTTTGTATTAAGCACTGTCTACCGAAATTACTTTTATCAATACTATATCAGGGTGTTAACCAGGAATAAACTTGATACAGCATTTTGACGAAATTGGGAATTTGTCAAAAAATTTCCCAATCCTATCCCCTACCTCCCCTGCCCCCAACCCTGATAAAATATGTTCTGAAAATGTGTAGGGTTCTCTTATATTATTTCTTCTTCTACATTGCATACATTGATTGGACAGCACCAAAAATAAAATAAAGTACTGTCTGTTGAAGATAAATATGAAATCAACATAAAAATAGACGTAGATTCACAAAGACACTTCAAATTAAGCACTGCTTTCCAAAGATATATTAAGAATTATATATTTTTATTTTATAAAATAATTAGTATATATTAATTATTATTAGAAGTAATATCTTTAATTTATTTTCAATCTTAATATATCATTACCGCATTTATTTTAAGAAAAATCTTTCAAATATATATTTTTTTCAATGGTGGGCACTAAATAGCGATTTTTTAAGTAATATAGCAATTTATGTTCATCGAAAATCTTCGCGGAAGAGAGCCAATGATCTTCTACTTCTATTTATTGTATAATTTCTGCTAGGGGTTCTTTACAGACAAACCTTTACACCATCATGTAATAAGCAGTATTCTCAAAATATGTTTTAAAAGTAGAAAAATAGAAAAGATTTGAAAAAAGTAAATACAAGCTCATAAATTTCATAATTCACATTTATTGCGAGTTCATTTTTATAATTAATGTTTTTTTTCTTTAGACATAAATCGCTTAGCAAAACAATGTTACAACTACAAAATCTCAGCAAAAACGAAAACAAATGTCGTTTAATTACAAAAAATGTTAATCCCAAGCACTTGCATGCTTTTGTGGCAACGAAAAACATCATTTTTTTCATTCATAGTCATAAAACATTATTATTACTATGGTTCATTCAAACATTTAAATTTGTTTTTAATTTACGTTTTAAATAAAAGCAAACAGTTAGGTAGAGAAATCTATTTCTCTCGTTAAATAAATTTCTTGTACCAGTTTGTTATAATTATAAAACACTTTTTGTATTTAACTTAAATTTCAGAGGTGGTCTTTTAAAAAGGTTAGTTGAGAAAAGATAGTAGATAGTAAACAATGATTTTAGTCAATGCGATCACGTAATTCAAATGATATAAAATACCAAACAAAAAATGAGAACTAAAAGATTTACAGTTTAATCTGTAATTGATCAAAATTTCAAAAGTATCTGATGTAGACAGCTTCTCATTACTTTTGTTGACCAATCACATGTACTACTTGAAGTAGAGTTTGCAGTAAGACCTAATAAGTTATTTAAAAGGAAAACTTTTAAAGAAATAGCAGGGTGTTAAACCAAACAAGTTTGTTATTTTTTTACATTGAAAAGCTGGCCAGATTTTTTAGTCGTTTTGAGAACATTTTAAAAAGCAAAAAAAAACAAAAAAAAACAAAGATTAATTGGACCGATGAGAGACAATTACAAAAAAAAAAAAAAAAAAAAAAAAAAAAAGGCAAATAAAATATCTTTAAACGCGAAAAAACTTAAAGCTAAATAAATTACATTTAGAACAAATATTTTCGAAACATCGCTCTTTTATAATTTTTTTATAAAATTAAGCGATATTTTTTATATAAAGTAACAACTTACGATTGTTTAAAAAAGAAACAAATATCCTTTATTTAACTAAGTTTGCAAGTTTTAGTTTTACTTGAGCTAAATTATTTAATAAATAAAAAAGTTAATTTTTTTAATACCTATTTTATGTTTCGCGTAGTTTGAAAAGTTTAACATATTTGAAGCGATTCTTCTTAGTAAGACAAACAAATGAAATAATTAAATCAATGAATTACTATAGGAATTAAATTATCAAGATAGATATCAACTAAAAAGGTTAAAAATACTTAATGACGAGGAAGCGAATCTGCTTCACAGTATCGCTGATAATGTTTAGTGAGTGGGCTTTTTAATTTTAATTAGTATTTAAAGCAGAAAAAAGTAAAATGAGTTTTAAGAATGGCAACTTAATTGTATTTTAAGAATTTCAACTTAATTGAAAATAATTAGAGTTAGTAAACCAATATCTAGAAACTTTTTTTTTATCTAATTATTTGCTATATATATTTGTGTTCTGTTGTGGCCTCAGACGCGATGCTTGTTTATCCGCGAGTTACTTTGTATGCGTTGTTTGTGTTTAGTAACTAGAAACTTTTTATATGTTAGTTACATAATTAGTTTTATTAACTTTAACGATTATATCTTCATTGAAAACGCAATTATTTTTGTAATTCTTTATTTAAATCATAAAAATTGCTTTAAAAGATACATTACGATAAAAAACAGATACACAAAATTACATTTACATAAAGATTACATACTTTTTAAATAAAAAATAAGAATATACTAATAAAATCTATAATTTATAATAAACTTTTAAAATTTTAACAATTTAATTAATATAAATTTAAAACATTTATTTTTGTAAACAAATAATATATATTCTTAAACCAATTCTAGAAATCTCAAAACGTAACAAATCGTGTATAATACAATTTCTGAAACATTTTAACAGAATACTCTAGAACTTTATTTTGCTTAATCAGCGTATTTTTTGAACCAATAGAATTAGTTTGTTCGTTAATTTGCCGGTTTTTTAGTGCTCGCAAATATTCTTTTTATTCTTTCGCACAATGATGTTTTAAGAACATTCAAGTTTTTTATGTTTCCATGTATGTCCGTAAAACAAAAATTTTTTGTTTCATAAATAAACTTAAATGTTCTCAAAACGACTAAAAAACCTGGCCAGTTTTACGCAACTAAATATAATTTCCGTGGTCAGTATTCGAGAGCGATCGCTCCCGCTTCCCGACCAAGCCTGAATTATACCAATAACAGCAATTTTTCTTTCAAGTTTTACACATTAAATTAGAGTTTTGTATGTTATTTTTCTATTAGTTTTTAAAAATTTACAATTAACTTTCAATAATTTTTAGAATTATTATTCAACTTTAATTTTGAAAACTTTATTTGGATGATGAAATTTTTTTACCTTTAAATTGGGAATTTGAATTTTTTGAGCATTTGGGAATACGGCGTTTTATATTATTAAAAAAAAAAACAAAAATTAAAAAAAATTGAGCAATTTATTTTTCAAAAAAAAACAACAACACAACTTTCTACTTAAGATGATGCATATGCGTACTTTGGCAAATAACCTTAAAAACTAATAACCTTTTTAGATTTGGTATCAAAGTTATACTAGATGGACTTCACTCTTCTTCATTTAAAGGAACTTTTAGAATAATAGAAGGTCCAGTATTTTTTTTTAATCTCCATTAATGATCTTAATGATTACCTTTATACTTCAGTCTTGAAGTATATAGGTTATATAAATTATAACCTATATACTTCAGTGTAAACTATAATAATATACTTCAGTGTAAACTATATACTTTAGTCTTGACAAGAAGTCATCCCTTTTTAATTACATAGAACAGACAGCCAATCTTAAATGTAATTTCTCTTGTGAAGTTTGGTGCTTGCAGTGGCTGGTGAATTAGAACCCAAATTTAATTCACTTGTTTAATGCAAACATTGCAATGTTCATATCAAGTTGATATATTAATTATATTAATGAATGACACTTATACCGAATCATCTACGTTATGTTTTTTAGGATTATTATTCACATGGAAACCATGAATACAATCCATTGCAAAGTTAGTATCTGTTAGTGATTGACAAAAACAGAAAAAAAGCTGAGACTGAAATAAACTGAAATTTCAACAACTGGCAGATTTTCTCTGCAAAACAAGATTTTTTCAAAGTATTTTGTAAAAATTCTCAAAAATAACTGTTTTTCTAAATTAGATAAAAATTGAAAATCTTAAAAATTTTTTTGGTTTTTGGTATGTTTTATAACCGAAATTTTGCAAAATTTCAGTTATAAAACATAAATAAGTTGCATATTTTGCAAAAAACTTAAAAATCATATAATTGCAGACAAGTTTTTTAACACAAAACCTACATACAAGCATTTTATTTGATTCGAAGTTATTAGAAGTGTTCTTATACCTTATTTTAAATGGTTAGATGATGGTTCTGTTTTTACCTTTCTACTGAATTAAAAATATTTTTAATTCAGTAAATAGATTTACGAAATGATAAATACCCTAAATAGTTTTATTTCTAATACTTTGTAAAATGACTTGTAACACTTTTAATTATGCAATTGTTGATAATCTAAATACAAAATAACAAAGCTAAATAACATCTTGCATACACAAGGCCATTTTACTTGTTCATTATTTAATCATGGAATTACATATAAACTAGACAATATCATAAAAAATTAACCACAAAAAGATGATTGTAAAAGTAAGAGCACATCATTGCAGTCAGTATTATTGCTGAGTTATACAAAACTTTTAAATTGTGATTAACTGGGATTATTAACCAGACTGCAACAAAACAAAGGTTATCAGAGTTATTTTATTGGCAAAATTGTACCAAACTGCTTACATCATTATTTAATAATGGAACAGTTAATGAATGAAAGAATAATTGATGAACCAGATAAAATTAACAATGCTAACTTAGTCAAAGTACGTGAAATCAATTAGACAACCACTTTACTCTGAATAGAACATATGAAATATAAGATATAGTTAAGACTTATTTTCTATTAGCTTTTTTTTTTTTTTTTTCTTTTCATCATAAAATGTATATATTTTATTTTATTATTTTTATTTCATAATTATATTACATAATTTATTGTTATAAATAATATAATTATTAATACCATCATACAGAACAAATTTTTATTTTTATAGTTATTTTTATAAACCAATGATAAAATTAATGAATGTACCTTTGAAAGTCGATTAATTGCCAAACTAACACATCCTTTATAATCATCAGGAGACTTTTGAACAATTTCTAAAATAAGGCTTACTGCAGATGTAACCACACCCTTAAAAAAATGTATACACATATATTTTTTGTAGATAGCATGCCTTGCTAATAGCATTAAACTGTTGCCAACATTTTTATAAAGTATTCTCTACAAAAAATTAAAATATGCATAAGTTAATATGTTTATGTGCAAATAATACACGCATAAACTATTTATGTGCAAATAATATTTGCATAAAGCACCAACCTTAAAATACCTTTAAAACTTTTTTTCAATAGTTAGAATAAAAATTCAAAAATCATGCACATTTGTAAAAAATTTATAAAAATTTATAAAAATTATTTGCTGATGACAAGATGGCTAAAAACTGTATGTATAAACATATATAAATTGATAAGCAAATAACTTACTAAGTTTGCATCATTAATCATTTGACATATTCTCGATGCCATTTCAGCAGTACTAGGGACCACAGAAGAATTAATACGAAACAATTTTACTAAACACAAAGCTGCAGACTGCTTTACAGACTCAGTTGTTTCTCTGCAAGAAAAAAAAAATCTAAGTTCAAATTAACAACTTTCAAAATATTTTCAACTAATTTAAGCCAATTTGACAAAATGTTTTACATACTCATAAGCAAATAATTTAATTATGCCATAATTAAATATTTGAAATAATTAAAAACTAACCGAGCACTTACAAAATAACACTGCACTTAACTTATTTATCAATGAAACAACCTGGTTTGTTTACATTCGTTTTTTGGAGTTATAGATTTAAAATAGGGAAACAACAAAAAGAAAACTATTCTATACCACAGTTGTAGCCCTTTGGTTTTTGGGAGTTAAATTTGTTTTGTTGCAGAATGCCGACCCTCGGAATAAGGGTTGGCATTCGGCAACACCAACCCAATTTGACGGCAATAAATTGTTGATTTATTATAAATTCATAATAAATTTATAATAAATTATTGCAAAGTCGGCAATAAATTGTCGACCTTAAACTGTTGGCAGTCCTATTTTTCCTAATTCCAAGGGCTGCAGAAGAAATCATGTTTAAAAATCTTGATAAAATATGAAAAATTTAACTAGTAGAAAAATAAGTACAAAATAAATAAGAAAAAAGAACCTTTAAACAGTAAAATCACATTAAACCCTCCTAAAACATACAAATTTTGAATTTTTTCTGCTTTTAGATTCTCATTGAAACTTTTTTATTGATTTAATTTATCTGTTTTTTTACCACAGTACTTTTCCATTTTATTTGTTTTATTCTTAAATTGTCTATTATTGTTATATTTTGAAACATTTCCTTGAAATCCAAATTACTTTAATACTTTTAACACAACATTTTTTACCATCATTGTAATGTAATACAAAATATAAACCTATTTCTGATGACCCACTATAGTTAATTTAGCAGTGACAATCCAATTTTCAACTATTATAACTATCTGTATTCCCTTTACTAACGAAATTTTGCAACGATAGAAAGGTCTTGATTTTATTTCTATATATCAAAACATCTATATACTAATTAAGAGGTGATTACCTTACGCAAATACAAATGACAACATTTTTGTCATGACCCATCAAGTGATATCAAACCAGGCCTTGCGATAAAGCGTCGGGCGATGTGAATTTTACGTCGTCCAAGAGCGATTTTGCGTGTAGCTAGGGCTATTTGCGTCGAGCAAAAAATTTTTTGTTTGAGTATATTTAAAGATATTTTTGAGCAGAATTTTAATGAAGTAATTTACGATTATTTTAACATTTAATAAAGTATTTTTATTAAATGCATGCACGCAGTTGATACAAAAGTTTGATTTACAAAAAAATTAAATATGCTCATTATTTACAAGTAGAAAAAATTCAGCTAAAAAAAAAAAGTTTAAATCTTTTCAAGGTAACATTTTAATAAAATTATTCAGCAATAGCAAAGTTGTCGATAAAATTGAACAAAAATACTTTCTTTTAGTTTTAGATATTTAACTTAAATAATTATTTTACGGGGGTTTGTTAGGTTTTAAATTATTCCATAGATTTAAAAATATTTATTAACTGTTAGAGGTATTTAAAGTATTTAAGAGTAATTTCGAGGAAACATTTTAAAAATTGGTAAGCGCAAATAAAAAAAAAATAAAAGGAATAATATTAAAACGTATTCTACTTGACTCAATAAAAAAAAGTACAGCTATTAAAATTTTTGTAAAAAGTAACTCGAAAAAAATTACTTAAATAATAACAATCGCTTTTTTGTTAAAAGTTGCCGAAACTCAAACTCAACGTGCTCAAGATCAGCTGCTGAAAAATAGAACGTCAATAGTTTTTCGAATAATTTTTAAGAACAATTTTTTCGCTGAAATATGTCTTTTATACCTATAAGATTTTTATTCTAACATTTTATTTTATTTTATTTTACCAAAAATAAAATTCCTTGTAAACATTAAAATCTATTTTAAAATGTTCGTTAAAGTTTTTTAGTAATACAAATGATTGTGCTTATCAACCGCTTTATGAAAATAAATAAAAATAAAAAAATATTATATAAAATTGCTAGTAAAAATATTAGCTATTACACAGTTTTTAATCGTACAATATTAAAATTTCCAGTTTATTACTCGCTGAATTTTTAAAAAGAAAAAATAATTATTTGAAAAACTTTAAATTATATATTTGAGAAAAAAAAAAAAATCAAATATTAGCATATTTTATAATCTTTTTTAAATGTTTAGTTAAAATGTTTTTTATTCATTTAGTATAGACAAAACGTGTCAAACGTCGAGAAAATAAACATTTTACATTTTAAAAAACGAAACATTCTAAAACATTTTAAAATAATAACATTTCTACATTAATGATTTGAAGTAGTTTTGCGGTAATTAAGTAAATTGGTGCAGTTAATGTCGATAAATATGAAAAGCAAATAAAAAGAACTTAATGATGTCAAAAATCACGCCGTGCTTATGGGTCGCGCAGTTTTTATCTTATATAGTTAGTATCTTTAGTTAGTATCTTTGCCAGTTTTATCAGGAGAAGTTTCAAGGCTTTCAATGCTTGCATACATTAGATATATTTTAATCTTTAGTTTCCTTTTACTTTTTAATCGTATCTTTGTGGAAGTGTTAATTATTTATAGATTAACAACTACCACAACTAATAATTATAACATGAGAGAATCCTTGTCTTTTTGAAAAAATCTTTAATATTGCAAAAAATTCTGGATATACAAGAGTTTGCAGAATGTATTTGATTAAATAAAATGCCCAATAATGATAATGTTTGTAAAGAGGAATTTATAGCAAACTCAGCTATTGTTTAATTTAACTTGAAAATTGAGTTTTGATACAACAATTATCAAAGATAAATTTTTTAAGCTATGCTGTTTTATCTGCTTTTTTTGTCTCTTAAAATTTTGTTTACTAATAGTCTTTTAGTAGTTACAGTTTTTTTTTGCTAATTATGGTAATTATTACTAATAATTTGTGAAAGATATAATTTATTACTAACTATTAATAAGGCTCAAATACAACAACATATTCCAGCAATAAAATATGAATCACAACAATTGCATTATCAATTTTTATTTTAAAGACGAGAAAACTACAATTTTCATTTTTTGAATTTCTTTAAAAGATAAATTTAAAAAAATAAAAATATGACAGATAAAATAAAAACACAAGCTCTTTTGCTTTTTTTTACTTTACTTTTTTAAATTTACTTTAACAGATAAAACAATATATATATATATATATATATATATATATATATATATATATATATATATATATATATATATATATATATATATATATATATATTATATATATTAGTAGTTACTATGACATTGCTATGATAAACAATATTATTAATTTAGATTTTTACATTTTTAAAAACAAACATTGCTATAAACATACATAAAAAAGAGAACAAAATTTTGAATAAGATAAATTAAAAAAAACATATTTTCATGTTTTTATTTTGTATATTAATAGTGGTCTAACACCATAAAAGAAATCATAAAATAAATATACCCTGAGATGAGTATTTTTGAAATATCTTGACCAACACCTTCTACCATTTCTTGACTTCCAATGTTTGCGATACAATGAAGTGCAAGTGAAACAAAAATTGGATTACTACTATTTAAGTCATTCTTTATATTTTGTATAATTAGTTTAATCAAGTCACTATTCGCACCAACTAGCACAGATATAAATAGGTAGCCCTACATATAAATATACAATCAGTCATATGAAGAAAGCCAAAATTAAAATAGATACCTCAGGCTTGGTCGGGAAGCGGGAGCGATCGCTCTCGAATACTGACCACGGAAATTATATTTAGTTGCGAAAAACTGGCCAGGTTTTTTAGTCGTTTTGAGAACATTTAAGTTTATGTACGAAACAAAAAATTTTTGTTTTACAGACATACATGGAAAAATAAAAAACTTGAATGTTCTCAAAACATCTTGGTGCAAGAGAATAAAAAGAATATTCGCGAACACTAAAAACCCACCAAATTAATGAACAAACTAATTCTATTGGTTCAAAAAATACGCTGACTAAGCGAAATAAAATTTTGGAGCATTTTGTTGAAATGTTTTAGAAATTATATTAATTTTTTATCGTAATGTATCTTTTAAAGCAATTTTTATGATTTAAACAGACTTACAAAAATAATTGCGTTTTCAATAAAGTTATAATCGGTAAAGTTAATAAAACTAACCATGTAACACATATAAGAAGTTTCTGGTTACTAAACACAAACAACGCATACAAAGTAACTCGCGGATGAACAAGCACCGCGCCTGAGGTCACGACAGAACACAAATATATATAGCAAATAATTAGATATAAAAAAAAGTTTCTAGATATTGGTTTACCAACTCTAATTATTTTCCCTTCATTTGCCATTCTTAAAAACTTGTTACACTTTTTTCTGCTTTAATTACTAATTAAATTACGAACTAATTAAAAAGCCCACTCACTAAACATTATCAGCGATATTGTGAAGCAGTTTCGCTTCCTCGCCATATTTTTAACCTTTTTAGTTGATTTCTATCTTGTTAATTTAATGTCTATAGTAATTCAATGATTTAATTATTTCATTTGTTTATCTTACTAAGAAGAATTACTTCAAATATGTTAAACTTTTCAAACTGCGCGAAACATAAAATAGGTATTAATAAAAATTAGCTTTTTTATTTATAAAATAATTTAGGTTAAATAAAACTAAAACTTGCAAACTTTGTTTAATAAAGAATATTTGTTTCCTTTTTAAACAATCATAAGATGTTACTTTAGATAAAAAACATTGCTTAATTTTATAAAATTTTTTTTGTAATTGTCTCTCATCGGTCCAATTAATCTTAAGCGCTTTTTTTTTTTGCTTGTTAAAATGTTTTCAAAACGACTAAAAAATCTGGCCAGCTTTTCGCAACTAAATATTATTTACGTGGTCAGCAATCGAGAGCGATCGCTCCCGCTTCCCGACCAAGCCTGTTACCTAGAGCTGCACTTTGCAACTTTAAAAAAATAGATTACAATTAAACTTGCATAAAAAAGACAGGGAATTTTAGAAAGAACATTATCTATGCTTAAATAAAAAAGCTTTCAACTTTGTTCACATATTTATAACTAACAAGACCAACATAAAAAATTAATAAAAACTCACAATTTGCTTCTCAGAGTACTTGTTGGAAGAAAGAAGATTGACAGCTTCCATATGACCAAAATCAATATCATTTCCAAGCAAAAAAATAAAAAGTAATTTGCACACATATTTTTTTTTCTGGTAGCCATCCATTTGTTTGTCTCCTACATAAAGATAATAGTAAATTTATATTTAATAGAAAAAAAAATTCAAATTATTACTGGACTAAAAATAACTTAAACTTAGGTAAATATTTTATGCAGTCATGTGTCAGATTAACAAACAGTTTTAATAAGATAAAAAAGCACCAGAGAAATGATAGAAAATGTAACATTACATTTGCAAATATTTTGAATACTATAATTGATTGTTAGTGAAATATACTTTTGATATACTTTTGAAGAAATTTATTACCAAACTATAATTATCAGATATTATATTTGGTTATTTTGGTACAATACTATTTTTGTTTTGGTTCAATACTATTTATAATTTTAAAGACAAACAAACTATTAGCCAAATATCTTCCAATAAATCTTTTAAATTTCCTATCTCCCCCCATTAATTACACCTGGAAAAAAATTCCCATCCATCTTTTCATTTACACCCAACATTGTATTTAGCACCTGAGATTAACTTAATAAATAAATAAAACTGTAATAATATAACTGGAACAGCTTTGACCATATCAAAATGTAACTTTAGTTATTGCTGACTTGCTTTTTCTGTTTTCTTGGTAATTTTATAAAATCGAATCCTAAATTTTATAAATTTATTAAAATTTTACCAGGGATGATCTGAAAATTAGTTCCAATTTTTAGTAGATGTTCTTTTTGTAGAACATCTTAATAGGTTGAGATTTTAGTAGGTCTAACTACCTGACACATTTTATATGATAGAACGTTTATTATTTTATTTAATTTGGCATTTAATAGTTAATAAAATTGAGCCTAAAAGGTAAGTCAAAGTCAGAACGCTATAACCATTAAAATTAGTAAGTGACCGGGGTTGATATTTGAACATGGCAATTTTTTTCCTAACTAAAGCTCATTCATACAATATGTAAAGCACTCTCTTCAAATTTTCTTATTCTACCACAACTATTTTCTAAAGAAGCTGCTACTTTTCTACAGGCTGATACCTAAATTACTTCAATCTTTTTTAACAAATGTTGCTGGTTACAACATTTTTTCAAACCTGTATAAAATTATGCCTCCATTTCTTGTCTTGCTAGAGTCACACCATACATTCATCTGATCATCTTCTCTTTTGGAAAAATACTACACCATATAAATACTAAAATTTATACAACAATAAAAGGATATTGTATGCCAGCATCTAAATAAATAGCAAACAGATATATTTATATCCATAATATGTATGCATAAAATGCATCTTAGAAGCTTTTATTCCTTCTGGAATAAAAGTTCGCAAGCTTTTGTTACTTTTCTTCTTTTTAAGTCAAGCCTCATTCTACTCCACATTTTTCAACTTAAATCATTTTTTTAATCGTTTTTACAACAACATCTCTCATAAGGAACAAGTTTCCTTTTATTATTGCAAGAAGCCAATGTAAAAAAGTCCTGTTTGATGTTAAACTCTGGTATTCTCAGCTTACTAAATCTTGTATCACATCTCAGATGTTAAATTCTAGAGACTTTTGGTTAGTCCTCAACAGTGTCATTAACTTAAGTAAGTGTAACTTTTAATCTCTAATTCATGGGTTTGTAACTTTAAGAGTACCACAAGGTTCTATCTTTACTCCTGTATTATTTCTTATCTACAATAACGATCTTCATAAAATCTAAAGTGGCTCTATTTGCTGATGACTCAACTTTATACTCTTGTTTTGACAAAAAATCTTCACTTTTTAATAACTTAGAACAAGCAGCCAATTTTAAATTTGATCTCTCTTATGGCTTATGGATTTTAATTCTGGACTTAAAATCCACAATTTTTGTATGACAACAAAACTCATTTATTTACTCTTTCTTGCTTGGATATTTATTCAACAAGTTGCATCATTTTACTGTATCTGTCCCTTCATGCTACAAAAACTTTTATTAATTATGCTTTTTTATGTGCTTGGCAAAGTTGCAAAAAGACTTCAGTGCAAAAGCGCCGGCTAAACGGAGAAGACTGTCTTACCAATCTTCATATTTTTCTTTTTTATACAACTAACAATTTTTCAAGCCTTCATTTACACATTTCCTGTATTTTACTTTATTCTCTATTTTAAAGTAACTCATAACCTAATAATGGTTGCTTACAATCTTGTTAGAAGTAAATTAGAGTTTAAAAATATATACATGTATGTCAGTAATTAATAAATAGTAAATGTAAGCATAAAATTATAATATTTTGAGTAACAAATTTTTTCTAGCCCAGGCTATCAATCCTTGCTAAATCTTATAATTTTCCTGGGGCCGGGTTTGCAAAAAAGTTTTTTTTTGGGACTGCACATCCTTGAGTAAAATTTAATTAACAGGGGAGGGGATATTAACAAACTCAGGATGGGGTGGGAAAAATTCATTATTTTTATTTAGAATTAGATAAATAAAATGAAAATAACCTTTAAATTTTGATCTAATATTTGCTAGCTCTTTATTTATTCTCTTCATCTCTGCTTCCTTTGATTTACCTAAAATCAAAATATTAAAACTAATTTTATATATTATAACATAAACTCACATAGGTTTTATTTCATAAAATATTAAACTTATGAACTTTTTTGTAAAAAAAAAAAAAAAAAAAAAAAGGTTAAATATCAACTATTAAATAATAACATTAACAATAACATGTACAGTTTGGAAATAAAATTAGTAAAAAAAACATGGGTATGAAAAAACAGTAAAATTTCATAATAATAAACAATGATAAAAAAAGTGCCATTCTTGACAGAAAAATACAATGTTCAAAAATTCAATATGCAAAAAATGTTTTTTTTTTGTTTATTTGATTGTTTTCATTTTACTTTAATAGATGAACATATTCTATTTTATTAATAAATAAAAAAAGAATGTCTTAGTAGAACATGTTCATGTCAACAGGTCAGTTCATTCGGTAGAATTGCTTCTCAATTTAACAAAGGCAATTTTAAGATTAATATCAGTTGCTATGTAATATTTTACAGAAATACAGGTAGATGGCAATCATATATATGAACTGATATCTAATAATTTTAAAGTTGACTTTTAACATTTTATTTAAACAGAATTCTTCTTGTAATATGTTGGTAACAAATATAGGAAAAATAAATTTTTATATGTTTTTGCAAAGGTTTTAACCTATGCAAAAAAAAAAATTTTAGTTATCATTTTATGTATTATCAAAACTTTTTATTATCATTGAAAATTAAATAATGGTAAAAAATATTAAACCTGTTACATTAAATTTAAAACCACGTTTATATTAGATATATGAAATTAAAAGCTAGGATATATTAAATTAGCTACGTTTATAAACAATAATTTACTTAATATTGTTCACTTTAGGTGAAAAGTATGAATAATATTACATGCTGGTTAATTTTTGTTTACGTCTAAAACCTCTTTAAATTTGTTTATTAGAGTTTTATTCTGTAGGACTATGCTAGAAGTCTTTATTCTACTTATTATGGCATTTTAGGCAATATTCAGGCAGATTATTTACTGCAGAAATTTATTTGCAGAATATTAACTATGATTTCAGTCGAAACATAGACGCACACAACTTACATGCTCTAATGTCTGAGATAAAAACTTGAAGCCCTCGCATTCCTTCACCTTTAACAGCAGGCATTTTTATTTTTGTAAGCGAGGTTATGTACAGTATAAAAACGAATATATATTTGCGATGTGCTAGCACAGAATTACGCTGTGCATAAAAATCCTTCGCCTAGTCTTAAGAAACCTTGCGCCATTTCTGATTGAAAATTCAGATCACGTGACCTTTTCGTTAAAAAAGGTCTGGGAATATAAACAATACATTGGCGCGAAATTTCGAAAAATCAAGTTTAAAGTGAAATTATTGTGTTTCGGTTTGTTTACAATCTTCGCGACGAAAAGTAACCAGAAGTTA